GTGCACTCTGACTGAGGTGAGATGGTAAAGTGCACACTGACTGAGGTGAGATGGTAAAGTGCACACTGACTGAGGTGAGATGGTAAAGTGCACTCTGAATGAGGTGAGATGGTAAAGTGCACACTGACTGAGGTGAGATGGTAAAGTGCACACTGACTGAGGTGAGATGGTAAAGTGCACAGTGACTGAGGTGAGATGGTAAAGTGCACAGTGACTGAGGTGAGATGGTAAAGTGCACTCTGAATGAGGTGAGATGGTAAAGTGCACTCTGACTGAGGTGAGATGGTAAAGTGCACACTGACTGAGGTGAGATGGTAAAGTGCACTGTGACTGAGGTGAGATGGTAAAGTGCACTCTGACTGAGGTGAGATGGTAAAGTGCACACTGACTGAGGTGAGATGGTAAAGTGCACAGTGACTGAGGTGAGATGGTAAAGCGCACTCTGACTGAGGTGAGATGGTAAAGTGCACAGTGACTGAAGTGAGATGGTAAAGTGCACAGTGACTGAGGTGAGATGGTAAAGTGCACAGTGACTGAAGTGAGATGGTAAAGTGCACAGTGACTGAGGTGAAATGGTAAAGTGCACAGTGACTGAGGTGAGATGGTAAAGTGCACAGTGACTGAGGTGAGATGGTAAAGTGCACTGTGACTGAGGTGAGATGGTAAAGTGCACACTGACTGAGGTGAGATGGTAAAGTGCACAGTGACTGAGGTGAGATGGTAAAGTGCACAGTGACTGAGGTGAGATGGTAAAGTGCACTCTGACTGAGGTGAGATGGTAAAGTGCACACTGACTGAGGTGAGATGGTAAAGTGCACAGTGACTGAGGTGAGATGGTAAAGTGCACTCTGACTGAGGTGAGATGGTAAAGTGCACTCTGACTGAGGTGAGATGGTAAAGTGCACAGTGACTGAGGTGAGATGGTAAAGTGCACAGTGACTGAGGTGAGATGGTAAAGTGCACTGTGACTGAGGTGAGATGGTAAAGTGCACTCTGACTGAGGTGAGATGGTAAAGTGCACAGTGACTGAGGTGAGATGGTAAAGTGCACAGTGACTGAGGTGAGATGGTAAAGTGCACTGTGACTGAGGTGAGATGGTAAAGTGCACACTGACTGAGGTGAGATGGTAAAGTGCACTGGTTGCACGTGTTGCATCATTCATCCTTTAAACCATGCAACTTCGATACGTTGGATTGGTCAGCAAACGCACAGCTACACTTTTACTGCGCAGTACTTCTCTCATCAACTTTTAGGCACTGCAGGGGCTTTCAAATAGTTTACAAACATTGTATTTTACCACTAAAGGGCAATTATGCATTTGTTCGTGTTGTAAATACTTCCCACTTCGATAACTGGAATTTATTATTTGAATGTGATCTGTAATGGTCTTGTTTATTGTGGGTAGGTCAGTGATTATATAAATATGGTTTGTTTGTTTTTTCAGGTAAATGTGGCGTTTAGAAAGCAATGTCACTTGAGAACATTATGGATTGTCCGATTGATTTGTACACATTTCATATTTGACTTTCTAGCTCTGCCCGAGTCTGAAAAAAGTCTTTGCTTGAATGTTTTGGAGTCTGTATAGGGTTCAAATAAATGATACCCCCAGGCAGTTGAGCTAGAAGTGTGTATGGATAGAGAGGCGCAGGTGCCTCTGCAACGGATGAAGATAGTAGGTTACTAAATTCTTTGATTTCATTAAATTATGTTGTTGCACTACTACTATTTTGATCATACCATCATCATATAACTAAATAATCATCCCTATATATAGAATTGTATGGAAAAGCGGCAGAAAGGACCATCATATATATATATTCTATACACCACAGTGAACACGAGCGAATAAGCTGACAGGATGGGACATTTTGATATAAAAATGAACAGATGGAAGCGTTGATAAGAGCATGGGTGTGTTCGCAGAAGAGCTGCACTGGTCTGCTGGACAAAAATAAAACATATTTTGTCATTACTCAATGGTGTACTAAAAATCCATGTGAAAAAAGCACTTCTCACCCATCTCAGGTCAAATGTTTACTGTATATGTGATTAAAGATGCGTGAGATACGTGTATCTCTTCATAATGTCTCATATTCTTATTTTGTGGTAATTTTTTGGTTATTGTCTCTCATCTCTGTGTGGAGATGAGAGACAATAACCACAAATGCCCAAAAAAAACAATGTTAAAGCGCTTTGTGACTCTGGTTTGAGAAAGGTGCCATATCAATAAAGATCGCCATTAGATTAGCATCGCAAACTTTGTACAGTCACTGGATATGCAGAAGACGGCAGAATTTCTCCCCAAACACCCCACAGGGTTTCTTTGGTTTCCGTGTCAAACAGCTTATTTATATAGCCAGATTCATCTCTGTGGTCAGGTGGCTACACGACGCTGCCACTAACGCCTGAGGCTTGTGGACATTCATATTCCTCTGCATGACAAAAATCCCACGTATTTACAGTACGGGCGAGGGGATAAACGAGTGGTGAAGGCGGACACCCCTGCCACGCGGCTCTCCTCTTCCCTGAGCCTTCAAAGCCCTTCGCTGGGAGCTGCAACATCAAAAGCTTCCCCCCCCTCCTGCCAGCCGAGGCAGGCAACAAGTCAACATGACCGCTGTGCACTCTGGCAACTTCTCCAGGGACACCGAAGCTGAAATGATGCGCGCTATTATCGAGATGTAGCTGCTATGATGAATCTGTGGGGCTCTTTATCTGGTCTAGTGCAGTGGTCTGTGTGGTATGTAATCCAGTTCATGGGAACATAAATAATAGAATAAAACAAGAGTAGTAAATCAGACGTCCTGTGAGGTAAGCGTTAGAGAGACATGTACAGTTAAAGTGATTGTCTGGAGTTTGTCAGAAAGAGAGACAGAGAGGTACTTGATTTGAAAAAAACGAGGCAAGCTCCCTCCCCCTTCCTTTCTGATTGGTCTACACCTACGTTTCCGTAACACTTTGAAATGTTAATCAGAGAACACATTATACATATACATTATTAATACACATGGACGGAGGTTTTCAGATTATTTCATTATTTGTGAACGTTTTAATGAAAAAAATAATGTTTTTATGCACACAAAAATCGATCGCGGCAAACCAGGAAGTGCTATTATTATGAATTGCACATTATAGGACACATCTGCAGAGGATCTGATTATGGTAATAGGTTCAGTATATAAATGATTATGGATATAGGTTCAGTATATAAATGATTATGGATATAGGTTCAGTATATACATAAGTACCTCAGCGCGGATGTTCAGAATTCTTTGTTCAGTTTTCATGTAGTTCCAGAGCCTAATAGAGGCTTGATTCGGAGGCTCTGCGAAAACAAACAACTGAGCATGCGCGCAGCTGCGAGCATCAGCGCCAATGATTGACAGCCCTTGGCATGACTGGATTGGTTAACCTCGACGGCACCGTGGATTCTGAACTATAGCTAAGAGCAGGGAAGGCCGGACGCCTATATAGTTGCCCGTAATACTAGAATTAATAAAATGACTTATTTTATATCAACATTTAAGGCCAGGAGGTCAATTTAACACATTTCCTAAAATTTGTAATTCATTTAGAGTTACAGACTATCACTTTAAGAAAGAGCCCTGAGAAATAATTGGCTTTTTCACTTATGTGAAAACTTTTAGGGGCAGGAACTAGTCACATGGATTTGATGACATAGTTCCTTCCATAGTTCATGCTGGTATTATTCAGGATTTGTGTAAAATGATGCCGCTCCAGAGATTAAGGTGTCTCCTCAATGTTATTTTCTCTGTGTTTGTGTGCATGCAGAATTTTCAAATACGTTGTGGAAACTGTATTCATACAATTTATTCTTTCAAAGTAATTAAGGGCCTCATCTTAATTAAGTTCTGACACTAATTTTGAAAATGAAATAGCAGCTGATGTAATTGCTGATGTAATTTGATATTTCCCTGTGATATAATTGATTTAGGGCAGTTGAAAACACTCGAGCTGCTCATATTAACCGCTCCTCTGTGCAATCGTATTTTATGGGTTCATCTCATTACATTTGTGTCAATCAGATATTAGATCTCCTTCGCCTTGACGTTTACACCCAATTATAGAGAGACGCAATTGTTTAGCACGCCGGAAAAGATGTGCAAATGAAAAAGAGTCAATTTTAAATCATAGATATGAAGAAAAAACCACACATTTTGGATTTTTCATGGAGCACAGTATGAAACATTTTAAAGCAAGTTGATTCATATTTGTTTCATGCATCTTTGAGTTATATTTGTTCTCCTGCATTCGAGTGGTCATTTCTCCAACAAACCCTGTTTTCACCAAGCCCCGATACACGATTACTGAGACACACTTTGCTTTTTGTTTAAATATACTTAAGATACACTTTAGAGTCGACACAAATCACCATCTAATTTGTAGGTGACCAGCAGCGGTGTACTATTGGAACACAATTTAAATAACTACAACATCATTAAACTAATCTAAAAACTGTTTGGTTTTATCACTAGTTTTCAAGTCATGTGTTTTTGCCTACAGTTACATCTTTAGATCAGCTTTTTCAATGAAACACAGAGAACTCAGCAAATCTACTCTCAGTATGTACAATATAATCTTTTCCAGCAAGATGAAGACAGCATGATATGGTCTGAAATGTTACTTAAACAAGACTCTTTCTGTTGGGGCAAAAATAAGTATTTAAGTTATTAAAAAAGCACTCTCCCCCTTACTTCTGTAACACCGCCTCACTTCAAATCCACTCTCAAAACTCATCTGTTTAGACAAGCCTATTCACTAACATCATAACTACCTCATCCTCTGTTCATGCTGCTTTTAACTTTGTATTTCATTGTATTATAACGGTTTTTAAAATGCACTTTTTTATTTGTATGTAAGGCGAGAGTGTCAAGAAAAGAGCTCAACAACAAAATGTATTATTCTTATTAAATTAGTTACATTATTATTATGCATTATTCTGGATATGGCCTTAATAATGCAAAGGTTGGCGAGCTTACCCGTCAAAAAGGCTGCAGGCCTCCACACAGGTGCGTCCGCGGCGGAAGAAGCGGCAGGAGAGACACTGGTCCGGCCCCGGGCCCCAGCAGCCCTCATCTGAGCACATGTGGTCGCACGCCATCCTCTGCTCCACTGCAAGGAGACGAGCAAGAGCCGTTTACAGGTGACTTCTCAGGGAACGGGATTATGACATTTGTGTGCCGATTTCAGGAATGTGAATGCGGACGAATGAGTGTGTGATTGGGAATTCTTCCTGTAGACAAATATGTCACGGCATGGGGTTAGGATTATAAACGCTTCATGTTCTTTTATTTATTTTTCATGTCCTCTAGCACACGATAAACTGAATTAAGAAAGAAAAAAGTAGTACATTGTGACCTGAATAATGACTTATTTTGGATATGTTTTGTGTGAGTTAATAACAACAACGCGGGAGCCGGAAAGTGTGTGTGGAGCTATCACATCTATAGGAGGATCTTGGAGTGATGTTGTTGTTTATAGTTTTTCCTCGCCGGTCATGTGACTGGATGGCAATACAGCACAGAAAGGATGCTAGAGATTTAGCTAGTTTTTTACGTTTGGGGAGAGACCTTCTTGGGTGAAGGGTCCCGGGTTTTCTATGAAGTAAGGATAAATGTCTCCGAGTCCCAGTCCCAGCAGATCTGTGCCAAGACAGAGGTGAGTCTGACCAATGTTTTTTCTCATTATCCCAGGTCTCATTTGGGCTTTGAACTGGTTCAGTCCGGTCTCATATACTTATTTTTAGCTTGTCTATATATCTCCTCTGATCTTCTTTCCTTAAAGTGCTTATATACAGTGCTATTCGCCCACTGAGTCTTTTAAAAGTACTTGTTGCATCCATGCTTCAGTATGGGCTGCCGTTCTTGCCACCCGGCGAGGGGCGCATGCGCATGTAAACAAAGCTCCTCCTATTACTGCAGGTGAAATGTAATAGTTGAATATTACGTTCTACATAACACGCTTACTGGTTAGAAAAAGGTCAATGATCATGCCATATGGATTTATCACAGCTTTTGATAATGTTGAAGTTGTTCTTGAAGTTGCACTCTCTCACAGCTGTTTTTAGAGTGATTCGTGCATGATTGAGCCCCTGCAATTGTCTTGATGTGACCACTTTCTCCTAGTTTTTATCTGCATTATTAGGAAACAATTCAGGACTCGTTTATTTTAGCTTTGCATACATCTTTGGGATATACAGTAGGTCTGGTGCTAATTATTTAGTCCTTAACTTGAACAGTACAGGCCAATTTAATCAGAAAAGCAGTTAAGCAGCATTGCCTTTGGCCCTATTTGTATTACAACCCTTAGCTTTGAATAAGCATTGGTATTCCCCACACTCTTTCCATTAGCCTACAGCTGCTGCAGACCCCCCTCCACTCCTCTCTCATGCGCACACAGCACAAATCGATGTGCCTAAAGGGGCCCAGTGACACCCCGGCTCCAGGTGTGTGCGTGCGTGAAGGTAAGGGGAATGGGAAGGGGGGGGGTGGCTCAGTTGGGGTCTAACCCAAAGTCGATGCGGGACAAAGGGGCCAGGTCTAATGAAGAAGTGGGCGCAAGAGCCGATCGATGCGTCCGTAACACTGCGCTGCTCATTACAGGGCTAATGGTATCAGCAGCAGTCCGGCAGCCACACGGAAACTACCGAGGCCGTCTCAATAAGCGCGCGGAATGGATTACTTAAGGACTGATAGATACAAGATGGATACAAGATAGATAGATAGCTAGCACGTCCTATACACTTCCTGAAGTACCTACTCACATTGTGGCTGCGCTTGTATTATAAAGTGTCTATAAAGTCTACTATGGGACCTGGGCCTTTTTTTTTCAAATTAAAAGCAAAACACCTGTTTACCAAAGCTTTAAATTAACTTCAGCATCTGTTATTTTCTTTTACTAAACATTGCATTTTCAAAAGTTTCAAGCATAAATCAATTAGTTCAAGGCAAGCACACAAATGTATGCAAGTCGTAAAGTGATTGATATTTTGCTCTTGGCTAAACCGAGCAAGGTAAGCATCTGCCAACAGCCATCTGAAGACACTCAGGAGAGTTGTGTTTAAATGAAATAGTTCATTTCGACATATGGCGTGTATGTGGTGGGGATACAGACTTAAAGGTCCTATAGCATGCACCATTTTATAAAATAAATCTCTGGTAGGTCAATACAATGAGCAAGCATTGGTCAGAACTAAATTAGAGACAATACAATTGATGAAAGAGTGCAGAGATGACCTCAGCCATTTGCCTCTGTAAACATATTTACAGAACAGTGATTGGAAACATTAATAAAGAATGTTTTTTGAGGTGGTGGAGAGGACGAATGCGTGCAGATGAAGCTAACAACATCCTCTGATCCGTTGTTCAGGAGGGAACTATTTTGTAAACTGGTTAATAACTCTATATGTTTGTCTTTGAACTATCTTCCCAGGACATGCAAACTCTTTTATATGAAGTGAAAAACTGATCCAAATTGTACTTCTTGTCAGTTTCCCATTTTTGGAAACTCCCACCCTTGCCCAAAAGTCAACAAGTTTGTCTCGTCGCCAATGCGTCATGTCATTCATCGACAGTGTTGATTTACTAGTATATACAGCGTAGATGTGCATACATACTCAAATGATTACTTGTTTCATTTGTTAATTTTTTAGGTATTAATATTTAGTTATTTTCATCTTCACACGTTTGGTGTCCACTTAATGTGTGTCTGCTTGTGTTGGAGTTGTGTGGGCTCACCGCACTCCCTGGGGTCCCTGTTGTTACGGATGAGGACCTTCTGGCTGGACGTCCTGAACAGGGAGGTCCAGTTGACTGTGTTATAGAAGCACAAACGGCTGTTGTTGAAAATGTAGACGTTCCCGGCGCTGATCTCGGACAACGACTGGAACTGTAGGGAGGAGATCCAGCGCTGCTTCAGGATCAGCAGCGAGATCCCACTGCCACTAGAACACAGCACAGAGCAGGTTAACTGCAGCATTGTCAATTACATACCCCGACCAACAAATACCAGGAAAAGACAGTGGTAGAAAAATATATTTAAACATTTCATTAATTCTTCATCATGAAGTTCATCTATAGAAACACTGAGGTCCAGACTTCATGGACCACAATACTGTGTACCAGAGGTACACAGAGATCCAGAGGTGTCTTTGATAACCCTGTGTTTCTTTCTCGTCACACAGGCGTGTGCACTGTGGAATCAGCTTCCCATTTATGTTAAGGAAGCAGATACGGTCTCCACATTCAAGGCCATGCTTAAAGCTCTCTACTTTAATTTAGCATATAATTAGGTAATATATAATATATGGTGTATATATTATATATATATATATATATGCTGTATTATGTTATATATTTTGTTATATATTATACAATATATGTATTATGTTGTGTATTGTGTTATGTTGTATATTAAGTTATATATTATGCTGTATGTTATGTTGTGTATTATATATAATATATATATAATATGTATGGTATAAATTATATATAATATATTATTAGGTTTGCCTGGATCGGTTTGCACACCTGGTGTGCAATCCATGAATCTTGGTGCTGTAACCTAGACTAGCCTAGCCGTGGCTGCTGCTGTTGTCTCACCTCCTTCCAGATACACTCTCTTTATTCAAGGCTAGGTTTAAAACAGTCCTCTTTAGTTTAGCATATGGCTAGGAAGGTAAGACTCAGGGAAGGCTAAACTCCTCAGACTGTCAGTCAAGCTGCATAGGGAGTCAGTTTGTGGGAGAAGTATGGTAACTAGAGCACTATCCTCTCCTCCTTCCTACGTTATCTGTTTAGCATTATTAGGATTTTGACTGTAGTTTGTTCATTGCTATTCACCCGTTGTCCCATTGTCTGTTTCATGGTACGATGACGGGATCTGGCCTGGCCTCCTCCATCTACACCTGCGGACTGCCCTACCCGACCCGCCTGGGAGTGCTTCAGTCCTGCACCGGACCTGTCCACGTTCAGCGGCCACTGGTCCACGTCCTGTAGCTAGCTTAGGTCCTAGATCATTAGCCTGTCCGTCCGGAGGAGCGGATCCCTTTCTCAAATGGGTCTCCCTCCCTGTGGGCTTCCCTAGTTCTCCCCAAGGTTTCTCACTTTTTCCCACTGGGTTTTTTAAGAGTTGTTCCTTGTCGATGCAGGAGGGTCTTGTTGGACAGTTAGTGTCCAACAGAAAGGATTGGTGATGATCAGGACACTTTAGCATTCTACAACATGTATGGACATTTTCTTCTGTGTGTGCTTTATATTCTTTATGAGTTTTAACTGTTGATTCTCTGACCTGTGTTGGTGATTTCAATGGTTTTGTTAAGTCCTCTGAGATGACTTCTGTTGTGACCTAGGGCTATACAAGAATAAATTGTATTGTATTGTATTGCACTCTGTATCACCCTTTCCCCCCTCCACACTTTTGAATTGCCCTGTCAAATGCGCCCTTCAAAGAGCCCAGAAATATCCTCTAACGCGCAGGCAAGGGGCGTTCCGCTGCCAGATAAAACATATTATGTAAGTTCCAATAAGATCAGAGAATCGGAGCTAAGGACGCTGGGCTTTTGAATGAAAAGATTGCTGACTTGTAAAGAGCGAAAATACAAAAAAGAAGAAAAATGCTATCAAACCGTGCAGCGCCTAATCAAAGCTGCAGCATAAAGCATCAAAAGTCCATGTGAAATCTGCCAACAACACAGCACCAGCTCATTAGCCCACAACCGTTCGTATCTGAAGCTAGCCGCGGAACACGGCTAGCTAGCATCGAGCCGGTAATAGCCACGTCAAGGCAAAATGTAGCTCGGTGCATTCGAAAACAAAGACAAGAAAGTATGATTGGGGGCACGAACGGTGCCTTGTGTTCTAAGAGGAAGCGGCTTTGTAGTGAGAGCTCAGAATGTGCTTATGAAGGCTGAAATAGGACTCTGACTGGATATGAAGTACATGAGTCAACAATTATAAATGCTTTCACTTCTGAGCGACTCTTCTTAAAGTTAATCTCATAATGTATTTAATTATTAATAGATTGCATATTTTTTACCACCTGGCTTATTGTTTTTATTTAAAAAGGTAAAATATTTTACATCATTGTCATTATAATATGATAGGTATTGCGATAGAAAATTACATAGTGGTATTTTTTTGTCTATATCTACGTTGGGACTGAAATTTAACTGTACAGTATTATTCAAATGGCTCAATAAGAAAGAAATTAGAGAAATAAAGACCTTTCCAAAAGGAGAAATTAGAATACTTACAGCCACCCTGTGTAATTGGTGGAATATGAGTGTTTAGTATTGCGATAACGATATTATTGCGATATTTTTGTTACCTTATCTTAATTGCAATCTGCATTGAAACGCAAGAGATAAATAACAAAAAATAACAACATTAATGGCATTCAAATGCATATACAGTACAGGCCAACATTTTGGACACACTTTCTCATTCAATGAGTTTCTCTTCATGATTATTGATTGTAGATCCACACCAGGCTGTGTAAGGGCTGTTTGACCAATAAGGAGAGTGATGGTGCTGGGACAGATGACCTGGCCTCCACAGTCACCGGACCTGAACCCAATCCAGATGGTTTTGGGGTGAGCAGGACCACAGAGTGAAGGTGAAGGGGCCAACAAGTGCTAAGCATCTCTGGGAACTCCTTCAAGACTGATGGAGACCATTTCAGGTTGAAGCTCATCAAGAGAATGCCAAGAGTGTGTGAAGCAGTATCAGAGCAAAAGGTGCTACTTTGAAGAACCGAGAATATAAGACATATTTACACTTGTTTCATACTTTTTTAGTACGTACATAATTCCACATGAGTTAATTCATAGTCTTGATACCTTCAGTGTGAATCTACAATTTTCATAATCATGAAAATAATCATGTATCCAAACTTTTGGTCTGTACTGTATTTTTATACTTTTTTGTTTGTTTGATGTTCTTGTTGAATGTTGATGTGTCTGTCTGTTTTGTTCTCTTTAATAAAGGAAGATTTAAATCACGGATATTATTGATATGGATATCACACGCCCCAAAATTGCAATAACAATATTTTTTGATATTTGAAGAGCATGTGTTCATGGCGGTTCGAATCCTACTTCTGCCATAAAGATCATTGGTTGAGTGGTCAGATCGACTGACCCACAGGTTTGCAGGTGTGAGGCCAGCTTCCCATTGACAACCCTAACATCCACAGAAAAGCCAGGTTGCCATACCTGTACAGAGACCTCCCCCCAATGGTTGCCAGGTTAGAGAACACTCCCAAGTCAGTCATGTTTTCCGGCCACGACTGGATGTTGAGGAAACCTGCAGACAAGGGAACATGCAGTAGTTTAAGATAATGTAATGAACAAAGTACTTATCACAGCATGTACTTCTATGAAGCACAAACAGTATTTTTAGAACGATTAATGTTTGATCATTTATACTCTTACATCCCTGACGCCATATGGCTCGCAACTCTATCCTCTGGGCATGACATCGTGTTGAATAAATGATAGGGGTTTGTAATTATACAGTGCCTTGCGAAAATATTCGGCCCCCTTGAACCAAAATCAAAATTTCGCCACATTTCAGGCTTCAAACATAAAGATATGAAAATTACATTTGTTGTCAAGAATCAACAACAAGCGGGACACAATTGTGAAGTGGAAGGAAATTTATTGGATAATTTAAACTTTTTTAACAAATAAAAAACTGAAAAGTGACTGTGAAAGTGAAATAACTGAAATATTATTCGGCCCCCTTGCGCAAATACTTTGTAGCGCCACCTTTTGCTGCAATTACAGCTGCAAGTCGCTTGGGGTATGTTTCAATCAGTTTTGCACATTGAGAGACTGGAATGCTTGCCCATTCTTCCTTGCAAAACAGCTCGAGCTCAGTGAGGTTGGATGGAGAGCGTTTGTGAACAGCAGTCTTCAGCTCTTTCCACAGATTCTCGATTGATTCAGGTCTGGACTTTGACTTGGCCATTCTAACACCTGGATACGTCTATTTGTGAACCATTCCAATGTAGATTTGGCGTTTTGGATCATTGTCCTGTTGGAAGATAAATCTCCGTCCCAGTCTCAGGCCTTTTGCAGACTCCAACAGGTTTTCTTCCAGAATGGTCCTGTATTTGGCTCCATTCATCTTCCCATCCATTTTTGCCATCTTCCCTGTCCCTGCTGAAGAAAAGCAGGCCCAAACCATGATGCTGCCACCACCATGTTTGACAGTGGGGATGGTGTGTTCAGGGTGATGAGCTGTGTTGCTTTTACGCCAAACATATCGTTTTGCATTGTGGCCAAAAAGTTCGATTTTGGTTTCATCTGACCAGAGCACCTTCTTCCACATGTTTGGTGTGTCTCCCAGGTGGCTTGTGGCAAACTTTAAACAAGACTTTTTATGGATATCTTTGAGAAATGGCTTTCTTCTTGCCACTCTTCCATAAAGGCCAGATTTGTGCAGTGCAGGACTGATTGTTGTCCTATGGACAGACTCTCCCACCTCAGCTGTAGTTATCTGCAGTTCATCCAGAGTGACCATGGGCCTCTTGGCTGCATCTCTGATCAGTCTTCTCCTTGTTTGAGATGAAAGTTTGGAGGGACGGCCGGGTCTTGGTAGATTTGCAGTGGTCTGATACTCCTTCCATTTCAATATAATTGCTTGCACAGTGTTCCTTGTGATGTTTAATGCTTGGGAAATCTTTTTGTATCCAAATCCGGCTTTAAACTTCTCCACAACAGTATCTCGGACCTGCCTGGTGTGTTCCTTTGTCTTCATAGTTCTCTCTGCGCTTTAAACAGAACCCTGAGACTATCAAAGAGCAGGTGCATTTATACGGAGACTTGATTACACACAGGTGCATTCTATTTATCATCATCAGTCATTTAGGACAACATTGGATCATTCAAAGATCCTCACTGAACTTCTGGACTGAGTTTGCTGCACTGAAAGTAAAGGGGCCGAATAATATTGCACGCCCCACTTTTCAGTTTTTTATTTGTTAAAAAAGTTTAAATTATCCAATACATTTCGTTCCACTTCACAATTGTGTCCCACTTGTTGTTGATTCATGACAAAAAATTAAAATGTTATATCTTTATATTTGAAGCCTGAAATGTGGCAAAATGTTGAAAGGTTCAAGGGGGCCGAATACTTTCGCAAGGCACTGTATGTGATTTTTCTTCATCCGACCCTTTTTGAACCATGTCTTTGCTTATGTTGATGTATATGAAAATGCAGTGCAGGTTCAAAATCAATAATTACTACTACTACTTTTCTCAATCTGTAAGGCTTGGATGATTCGCAAACGTTACGCAGGTCTTTTTACTGTTAGGAAAAAGATGTTTGCTAACTTGATATGTGGTGGAACAGGGCCTTTGAAGAGAACACAGTTCACTGATGCCACAGACATACATTGTGACGGAATAGTTTGTCTTCCATCCATTCATCCATTTTCTTCCCCCTTATCCATTTCTGGGTCGAATGGGGTGGCAGTCAGAACTGCACCCAGAACACATAACACCTACCCCTCACTGATCCTCCTGCAAGTGGTGAGTCCACAGGAGCCTTGATCTTCCAGCGGAGGCTTCAGGCAAAGTGGGGTTAAGTGTCTTCATGTTGTATAATTCGATTTCAGTAAATTTGGGGCGATATCTTTTTAAATGTCTTCCTGGATCATTATTTGTGTTGTTGTTTTTATCCACTTCAAGACACCCTTATGAGAAAATGATGAGGCCATAGATACATGCTGTCAAAGAAGATCTGGAACTTTGTGTTCTGCCACCAGTTTCATTATCATTTTTTGTGACTTTGACGTTATAAGTGTTTTGTGACTTTGTCTTTACAAGTGTGAACTTTGTGTTCTGCAACACTTTGTAAAGCTAATGTTACTTTAAATCTATTTATACCTGTATTTTCACTCAAACATTTCACGCTACATGTACGCTAATTATAAGCTGTCCAGAAGAACTGTAATAATGGAGCAAGAGGCTGTTTGTGTTGCTGTTGATCTATATTAACGTGCAACGTGTCCGAGCATGTAGTGATAATGGTGTACTTTGTTTTAGAGTTTGTTTCATGAGGATTAGCCCAAGAACTATTTCACTGAAGCACATTGTCTTTTAATTGTATTCTATCCAAGTGGGACATAATCAAGTCTTTTTGTTCTTACAATGTATATATAATGTTTCTATAGTGCGGATTTCAGGGATCTTCCATGTTGTTCTGTGTGCGATGACAATGAAGCGCTAATTAAGGACCAAAGTATTAATTTGCAGCTCAATTTCTCTGGTCACACTTGCCTCTGATGACGGAGTGTGTCTTGTGAGCAGGCGCAGAAAGCATTAAAAGCGCTGGCAACACGGATTCGGCTGGGGTTAGGACGGTCATTGCTCTTCCTTATTGCCCGGGTTTTCATTATGAGAACGCAGTTTCAGTCCATTAGCTTGTTTGGCCGTGTGGCGAGTCGCACTTTAAGATGACAGAACGCTCCGCGCCTCGTCTCTCGGGGGCTTTGGAAGATAATGAATAAATACGCGTGAGGAGGTGAGAGGGGATGGCGCAATATGCAACAGAGATGATTAGTTCTTCATGTTTTATTTCCTTTTTGCACGTTCTTGTGCAAAAGAGCATTTCAAACAAAAGGTAGCTCACGGTTCAAGACTAAATTATGTAGGCTATTCCGTGTGGAGATGAAGCCGTTCCACAAGTACTATACAAGTGGCATGGTTATAATCAAGTTGAATCCTTTTACATCAGCTATTTATGGCCGTGGTGATAAGAAAGGCACGGGAACGCTGGATGGAATTGTTTGGATTCTGTAGTGTCTTGTCTCGATAGCCAATTGTATATACCTATTATAATAATTACTACGTCTATCTAGATGAATGAAAAACAAACAAAACAAAAATTATGAAGCTTGAAAGAACAAGAAAGGGGTCATCTTGGGAAATACCATCATTAACTGGCTAAAAGGACCTGTCCTAAATTTTTGCAGGGCTTTGATAAATGACAAAGACGGCTTCACCCCGTCATGTAATCTTGTTTTTTCTCACCAAGAGACAACCATTGGTTCGACTCAGTTTGCGCATGAACAAAACATAGCTCATGTTAAACACTATTAAAATTGGGCCTGTGGGTTTTTCTAGATCAGAGACAAAACCTCTGCATATGACAACAATCTACAATACAGATTATTAGCAGGAAGAATGATTGGGAATGACAGAATAGAACCACCTGTTATACTTTGGATTTACATAACAAAGAAAAAACTAAAATCATGGAATTCTTTACAGAGTGGTTTCATTTGAGTTATTTACCATTGATCTATCCATCAATTAACTGGATAATCCAATCCATTTGTAGAGTACAGTTCATCAACTAAACTACTCTACAGAAAGATAAAGTTATATTAATAAAGCCAAAATCGGATATCCTCTTTAAGTATGTCCACCATACACAAAGCTATGAACTATACTAGAATTAAATGTGAGGCGTATAAAAAAAACAAAAAAAATGAGGAGGACCACACACCCTGAGCCAGTGAATAAAAGTGAGTCTCAAGACGAGACTTAAAACACAGGTCCTGCTTTATTACTAATTCTTCACAAGGTGCTCTCGAAGCGAAATTATTATGCCTTTATTGCAGTGTGGGACATTACATTCTATTTGATATAGTAGTTAAATGATTCAATCGTCACTATTAGTCAGGATACTATTAATCCATCCAGGCCTTTCAGCGTAGGTATAACATTTAAGAGCATACTTCAATCCCCATAGATAGGCCATATAACGCGCAACGTATACCTCCCAAGGTGACTCCACACAGCCCCGTCCTCACCTGTGATCTCCTTGACGGTGCGGAACACGTTCAGCCGCTCAGGGTCCATGGGTCCGATGCCGTGATACATGTCCCTGTCCGCACAAAAAACAAAATAAATACAAATATATAAGTGTATTTATACCTCGATCATATCTACAAGCAACCCAGGCGCCCCTGTGCTATCGTTGACAAGGCATGAAAAATATACGTCCTTCAAAAGGGACGCACGTGTCCTTTCACAACATATATATATAAATATAAGTAACCTCTACAACATGACAATTGCCTATTTTTCACGCTTATTTCACAGCGGAACATTTTTGGCTGACCTTTTTGCATCACAATGGGTTTGCCAAAGTACGGACAGTCCAATCTTTAAAAGGCCATGAGTGGAATGGTGCTAATTCTTGTTCCAACTGCAGGTTCAAATTCAGTGTGCAATGTAGCAATTTCAGCTTAATATCAATCAGTCATGAGGTATTGGATAAAGAAATACATGCCGAACAAAGAAAAATGAGCCATGGGAACAGCGTGAATGGGTAATGACAACACCGTCTGGTGCAGGAACAATGTGGGCTTTGAAAAGCAGGGGAAATAGTCTCAATGATTAGGTAGACAATGGATCTTTATTGCAAATTAAGTAATTACAATTTTTCACAAGGCTTTGTCCATAATACATGCAAAAGGTTATTGAAAGTTGAGTGGGTGTTTTATGCAAAATTATCAATAAATGTTAATACTTCACCATAAAATATTTTGATCTGCTTGAAAAAAGTTCTAGTGTTTTCTTTTGTCATATGAAATGCAGAAGTTTACGTTTACAGGAATCCATGGGCCCATTGGAATACAAGACTTTTGGAATGTTTTGAGTTGAACACTAAATAGCAAAGGTGGTCCTGACCAAGCCGAGCATCCACATCTGGGCAACGCTATAATAAAAGATTGTTTTCTTTTCATTTTGGTTGATTTTGTTACACATGCAAAAAAAAACATCAGCGCGCTTGCATCACAACAAACCTAATTCATATTTTCCCCAGAGGAGAATGTGTCTTCCTCCATATCCATCAGTATAGTTTAACTTTACAAATGCTATGACATCTTGAATTGGCATTGTGTTGCTCAAAGAGGCGTCCAACAATTCCTTCTTTTTCAGTGTGTTCATAGAAAAAAATGACAATTAAATGTCAGTTAAACGCGTTAATAACGGTGTTAACCCAAACCCATTTTACTAACGCCAATTGTTTTATTGGGCAATCAACTCAAACACCAAGGCAGCAGCAGTTGTAATAGTTAACTACGAGTCTTTGTGCAGCGCACGGGAGCCTCTTGAGAACGCACATGCGGTGGAGGGACCTTTGTTTACCTTTCAGCGCTGCCGTGTCATGTGACCAAGACATAAGAAGAAAATCCGGTAATTTTTCAAAATTTTATTTTATTGCTTTGGCGGCCCAGTTTGTATGTCCCATGTACCAGTACCAGGGGGTTTAGGACCGCTGGTGTAGAGGACAGTGCATGCCAGAAGATGGACATACAGCAGCAAATGTCCATTGCTGCTGACCAAAAAAGCATTAGCACAAATATTTCCTCTATATTCTGTATCTGAAGCCTGGAGCTTGGCACACTCAGCTGGTGCTTGATGTTCCCTACACACCGCAAGTGCAGCGCGGCTGCTGCTGCCCCTGTGTAGTCTATGGAGAAGTGTAAAGTGCTAGTATAAAGCAGCAAAAGTCAGATGTATGAGTTTGTCCTCATGGGCTCAGTGGCTGGTTTGGTCAGACTTAAGTCCAGAATCACCGTCAAATCTGCCAGCCCTCCATCTAACATTTATATACAAGTGTGGGCGTGTGGAGATGATCTAATGTCAAAGATCGTTAGCACAAGCAGACTTCCCATTTATTTGAACTGAAAGCAGCGTCACTGCGAAGCAAAAATATGTGAGGCTAGTATTTTGGAGTAATGTTGAAGGTATTTCCCAATAACATAAACCAACAAAACAACTGAGTAGCCGTTATTGGACAATTCAAGTCATTTCAACCGTCTATACACTGTAAAAAGCATGCAGAGATTGATGAGCCTATAGATAAGCCAAATAATGAAGTTTTTGGAGGGTTTTGGATTAGTATATACTTTTTGCTTCATTTGATCATCCTATGACATTATGTGATTAATAGCTTAATAGCAATTAAATATTGTATTCGTTTACACTAGTTAAATTTTACCATCTCCATTGTTGTATAGGAAATGCAGCTCAAAGCATAAGTAAAATCCTAGTAGACGGTTCAAGTGTTCCCCCAAACTTGGAATGTTTGGGGGAACACTAAAACTAGAACGCTTGTCACTTACCCTTTAATGCCAGTGATGAGAAAAATGAGGTTTCCATTGATTTTGGTGCAGTTGACAAACTTGTCTATATTACTGGCGTCGACGGTTTGAGCTGTCTGCAGACTGCCTGTGCCTATGCCGTCACACACTGTGAAAATAAAAGCAACCACAAATTAGTTCCAAGTTTGCCTCCCTCCCTCTTTTTCTCAATTTCTCAACGTGCTTAGTCATCCACACTTCACATTCAAGTCCACGCATCGGGATTCTTTTGATGAAAGCCTGGACCAATTCTCAGCCAATCCCTCCATATAATGAATCTATTACATCTGCATTAATTACAGCGACTGCCTAGTGTGCGCCAAGTCGCTCTGAAAATGATGAATAAGCTCAGCATTAAGTGGCGTAACCAGTTACTGATCTTGATTTATACCGGCCAATTCCATATCTGAAATGTTAATTTGTTATCATTTCCCACAGTTCCTTGGGCTATCCCTCATTAACCCCGCCCTCCCCCGCGGCGTGACGATGTAATCATGGGGATTAGCCAATCGATGAGAGGCCTGCGGGAAAAAAAGGGGCCACACGTATTAACAATAAGATCAATCTATGAAGCATTGAAGTAAGCATTTCATTTAAGAGCCCCAGACAAATTGATTCTATTATAATCTTGCTGAATTCACAGATCTAATGTATATTATTTACAATCAGGCAAGATACTCTCATAAAGATTTAGGAAGCGCAACATTACACGCACATTTCAGTGAGGAGGAGGTTGTAAATAATTGTTTTATGTCAAAAGCTGATCCATTGTGGCTTTTAGTATAACGCCTTTAGAATAAAAGGGTGTTTGCAACAAAAGCCTGTGTACATACAGTACATGAGACTGAGGGAGGAAGGCAGACAGTGGCTCCTTCACATCCATGTTGTGAAACAGAATTGCTTACAGGAAATATAATGGTCTGGATTGTTATGCTATCATTTGGCCGGGGGGCTACCGATGTTTCTAAATGCATTACCGCCACAAATACCCTACATCTTACTAGCCATTTCCTTTGATTTTGTCTTATTGAAAAGAGTGCATAGTGCGCTGCAAATGGCAAGAACTACTGAGTAACTCTGAAATAGTTGCTGTTTTGTGCGTCACAATTATTATTTATCTTGCTTTTTTCTGCCTGAAATGTTGCTGCAGTACTGTGTTCATGGTTTTACATTGATCCAGACCAGAGCAGAGAGGATTCACAGACCAACCCAAGCAGACAGAGCCTAAATCCTCTAGAGGAAAGTAAATTTTTTGAAAAATGACAACAAAGCATTGAGCCTGATGCATTTTAATATTATTGTTAGCTACTTTTAGAATTGTCTATTTATTTGTTTGGTTTGCATGGATAGAAGTGTATCTGCTGCTATTGGACTCCTGGATATCTCCTACGGCGATCAATAAAGCATCTATCTATCTATATATATATGATTCATGCTTTCATTAATTTAAGAAAACTGTGCATAACAATCCAAATATTCAGATGTCAATTCAACCACACATAATAGATCACATATCAATTCTTGACATTTCCATTTAATGACAGTGGAGGCTTCATTTTTTTCAAGGAGATCTAAAACTCACCCTCACCCAATTTCTAAAGCAGTGAAAGCAGTTGGCTGTCTAATCCTGTCTATAAAGAAGTAGTTTACTGTCGTGTCCTTTTGTCATTACCTAAAAGCTTATTACTAGTTATTAGTCTCAGTTTCCGAGGTCATGTAGCAAGTAAAGTTCCATGTTTGTGGCAGGAGTTCCGGTCATAAAATGGGTAAAAGCTCAACAACAACAAAATGAGAAGTCCAACCACTGCTTTCTGGAGCAATCACACCACATAATGTGTTTTTCATGGGTGAGGACCCCAACATCCCGGTTAAATCAAATTGTATTGTCAGTTATGTCATTATCAGCTCTCTTCTTCAGTTGACAAGAACCTAATTGCTCAAATAAGACTCAATAAAACCTCCCAATTTGCTGAAATTACTTGCTGATTAACGTATACACCCAAATTTCCCAAAACTCCAATAAGTCTTTTAGTTTTCATAAAAAGTAGCTTACCTTTCGGGCAGATATCCGTGCACGGTATACACATCTTGATCCGGTTCTCCTCCACCTCCATCTTGTTGCTCGGACACGCTCGCACACATGAACTATGGTCCACCACAAAGTTATCTGCAACACAACCCGCAACCCATCATCTTGTAAGTGGTTGATTTAATTGAGAGAAATTGATTGTATTTTAAACGTGGTTGCGTAACAATCCCGACTAATGACGTGGGCTGTTATAGTAATGAGGAGTCAAATTAGCGTGGTTGTAAAGCGGCCGGCGACATGCGACTCGTGTTTGCTCATTTGAGAATCAGTGGAACCTGAACAGGCAATCTGTTGATCTCGCTTGACTTCCAATATGTCTGAATTAGCATTGTAAAGGAAGTAGCATTCTGTGTTTGGCTAGCAGCAGCTGAAACAGATGGCCGCGGGGGGATGTTCATAATGATTGTAATTCATTCAGAGGAAAAACAGTGAAATGCAAGTGATTGATTATTTGTATAGACAAAGCCGGAATTACAGAACGCTCGCATACATGGTTTTATCTGACAGTGTATGTAGATGATTTAATTATTTTTTTTCATTTGATTGTACTTTGAGTCATAATTCCAATTCTGCCACTAAACATTTTTAGGGAAATGCGTCCTTTGTCATTATCCAAAATCCATCAAACTGGCTTTTTTCCCAACAGAAAAAAATGTTACACCACAACATGTTGGATTTATCTTTTTGGAAATCATATCAATCAATTTTGCATACTGGAAGTGAGAGCCCTGTGAGTCACTATTTGATGCTTTGGGCTAAGAGCTGATTGGGCGACTGAGGGTGGTCCTTTCTTTTTCACTTTTCTCTCTATCAAAGCTGATCTAAAGATGTGACAGAGTACACAAATCCATGCTGGTAAAATCTTTTGAAAGAAGCCAACTGTATTAGGGCCAGGAACAAGTGACATGGATTTTATTATAATGTTAATGCAAGTTCTGTGGTTTAAAATGTTTTTTATTTTTTTAAATGTAGGTTTAATGACCTTTGTCTATCATTTGGATTCATGTTTGTTCGTTTTGCAAATATTATCCAGTACAAATCATCTTATCACAAAAGGAGTCCCATTGCGCAATGCATTTTTCCCCTCTGCAACTGTGTGAATAAAATGTAAAACAATTACGGGTAACATCTACCAATGTGCAATATGCTTGAGAATGAACACTCCACAGTGGGGGCGCATAGCCAGTGGAGCAGGCCTTGAGCTGAGTCGGGTTCGAGCCACCGTAGACCTTCACACTCCATGAGACTGCTGTCGTGTGTCTGGCAAGACACTTAACCCACTTGCCTGAAGCCCCACTGAAGATCAGCTCCGTGATCACCACTGCAGGAGATGTGAGAGCTGGTCTTGTACTGGTGCATCTGGCCACCCCCACCAGAATGGATTAAGGGAAAAATGGATGGATGGACTTCCAAAATTCATCGAATTTTAGCATTTCTCTGCTAATAAAAGCTCTTGTCCTCCTGGTGGGTGGAGTCCAGTCCGTGGGTTTGTGAGGTGTGTACTGGTGGCTTACGTGGACACTTTTTCACGCAGAAGGCCCCGTAGGTGTACTTGGCTCTGGGGTTGTGCTCCAGCTGGAAGGACGTGGGGTTGTAGACGAATGGCTGAGGGCACTGGGTCACGCACGCACCGCTGTCGTTGAAGTTAGTGCACGCCTGAAGAGACAAAGAAGTACAATGAGAAAAGTGACATTTAAAAAAAGGCAGAGGTTTTAATTAGGAAAGCACTAAAGATGAAAATGTGGATCATGATTGAAGTATAAATGGCATACAGTCACGTTTCATTCAAGACCCCCTAACATGCACATGAAATCAACTTGCATCCGCCCTGGTGGATAAACTAGAGGGCAGTAATAATTGATAAAAAAAATAAAAAAAAATAAAAAAAATAATCAATAAATCAAATCATCATCAATGACTAGAAAATAAATTGGTTTTAGCTGAATGCATATCATGAACCTCTGGATTTATGTCCCCCCACCCCTTCTGTCTGAATGCTAGTTCAAACTCGGTACCAGGACTGCATGTAGATGAACAACGCTAACCCCGTAGCTCAATGAATCCTAATAACAAAGTGCTCATAGGCGAAGTTTTGTTCCAACTTTTTCTGGTGCGTATTGACTTACATTGAAAACGTTAATTGAAAAGTATGCTCACTCTCTCTTTTTCTCTCTCTCTTTGATCCTTGTATTGATATCATGATATTGTCTTTGAGAATGCAGATATTAGCAATATAAAGACTGACCTATCTTCATTAGAAAACCTTGTCAGTACAAATGCTGATAATGAAATGTGCTCCATCTAGCTGATGAAATCTGCATCTTTCGAACTCTGAAAATACCATGCGGACATCAGCACTCGCTCAATCTTACTACAGTCTATGCTTAGTACGTGATAACAAATGCCTACAATTGCATGTAAAGGACTGACATTTCTCTAAATCAGTATTGCCTCTAAGTTTTGACAGTTTCTCCAGTCAAAATAAGTTCAAGTAAATATACAAGACTGTCATATCTTGTGTTGGTGGATTCGGTTTCTAAAAGATGAAATGACAAAATAAACATTCTCAGGATCATGTTACTCACGACAATTATTTCAATAATTTTTATTCTCCTACAGACACATTGACCTAACAATATGATCTGATTCGGTGACTACTCAAAATGAAATGCCTTTGATTTGAGAGAATATGGCAAACTGGTGTTCAGAACGTAAACAAGAACAATCCATACATAAAAGCATGGAAAGCATGAAAGTCTTTATTAAATCTATTAGAATTAAATCAGGAAGAATGACACTTTTTCACGTTTGCAGTCGATAGGCAACAGGCAACAAGCGTGTAAACACTTCAGATGCGTCCTCCATAAACGACACCAATTTAACCGAACAAGGTTTTTGCTGAGTTACAACTATAATATCTGCTCGTGTCGCTGTGGGAGCGGAGAGGGAAAAAGATACGTGCTCGAGGTGATAAAGGGGGATTAATTAGAGCCGTGAATCAGCAATTTGTTGGTTTGAAGAGCTGGGAGACGTTTACGAGGCGGCAAATGACGGACCATTCATCAGGTAGTAAACATGCTGGATCATATTATTGTGACGAGCAACAGGAGGGGGAAAAACAATGTCATAGTCTTCTCAGCACATGCTATTGATACTTTGGTCTCCTATGTTAGTATATTTTTGTGTTTTAAATATGTTGTTGCCAAAAATTATCCAATACCAACTAAAATATGGGTGGTGCTACATGTATGGGAAAGCCTTATTCTATCAGACCTCAGAAGCTAAGCAGTACCTTTGTACCTAATTTATGAATTAGGTACAAAGTGGTTTTGGAGAAGTGACCTTCCATAAAGCCTCATGTTCCAGTGCATGAGGCCTGACCTGGCCTAGCCTGACTCTGGCCAGACCCATGTAGTTCGCTGCACTTCACACATGAGTCTGGTACTGAGCCATAGTGGTTGGATTTCAGAAGGCAGGGCCTTGTAAAAAAAATCCTTGTATGTGATTGGATAGACCACCTGTCCGTTATCTTGAATGAAGTCTGCTTTCAACCACTCACATCGAAGCACACGGCTCCCATAGGTTGCCAAATCCCAGCAAGATTTTCCAACCCAAAATCCGCGAGAATACCCACACAAAAAAAACACTCAATGATTTTTTGGCTAAAAACGTAATGTAATCAACTTGGGCTATCATGATTCTGTTTATTGTCTTTCTGTTTATTTAATACCTACAAGTCTCTTGGAAAAAAATATGCGGGAACCACCAAACCTGGCAACCCTGCTGCATAGTGTGTAAACAGGAACACTGAACCAGTGCTTCAACCAAACTTTACACGAACATTTGACTCTTAAAACATATATCAACATAGAACCATCTACATCTTGCCTCAAATTGCATTAAAAGTGACATCCGTGTCTTAATTCGATCGTATTTACTTTTTTAAAAAGATTCGCGGACTTTACGTCAGCCATTTTGGATTCCTCTCGCTGCTGCATGAGAGAAGCTTCAGAAGGCAGTGCAAACCCCACGTAACACCGGCAATCCTGATTGGTCGATTAAAAAATAATCTGGGGAAGGCGTTCGCTATGGCCTCGATACCAGACCCATGTGGTTCAGCCAAACGCCTCTGGTGGAGCATGGCGGAACTACAAGGGTCTGGCAGAGCCAGGCTAGGGTCTACAGCAGGAAAAACAAAAAACAAAGGCTCAAATCAACACATTTTGGCTTTTTTTTATTAACAAAGCTGGTGTTTCTAGCTAGTTTCTATGATTTTCACTAGCATTCTTTTTTACTTTTTTATAGGTCCCATTTTTTCTCTAGTTTAAACATGTTTTCAGTGGTATTTGGCCTTCATACACATGCCCAGAGTATTTTTTTCATTGATTCCCTCAAGCTTTAGAAACGAGCTGTCTGTGAGTAATGCAACTAACTCGCCGTGTGTCACTGTGAACTTCATAATTAGGTCTGATTCTGGATCGAGGACATAGGACTCTATGTGGGTTGCCATTGTTAGAAAAAGTGTATTCTCAGGTCTGAAATGACTCAGTAACAGCGTCCTTTCAGAGTCTAGCTGTACAGTTAGCTCTTGTTAACTTCTCACTTAGCATGATGCTACGTCACCGCTCGGGCGGGGGGAGGCGGGCTCACAGAGGAGCACAGATCCAAGCGTTTCACATGAGGTGAAATCACCTCTATGCCTGAAATGGCTACAATCTCACAAGTTTGTTTGAGTGTTGTATGATCTATCACTGTGCATAGCAAGGACTGTGAAAAATGAAGAAAAGTAAAATATTAAATTGTGTTAAAATCTCTGTCACATCTTTAGATCAGCTAACACTTATCACCTCACTCAGCCAATCAGCCTAAAGCGTTAGAGAGTAACTGACCAGGTCTCTCTTTTGAAGTATGCAAAAATAATTATAAGAAGATGTTGGGACTAATAAAAAGTACTATTTCTGAAACAACAACGGTAGGTACCACAACTTTTAGTGACAAGAAAGCCTTTATCGGAATCAATGGTATGACATACATTTGCTGCTACTATTATTGATGTTGTTTATTTTATTTTATTTTATTGTTTTTCTTTTATGTCTCACTAAGTTTATTATTGTGAGTGATTACGTAGGCATGGGTAGGAATGCACGTGTATGTATTTGTGTGTATACGTGTGTATGTGCATGTACTGTATCAATATGTTTTATATTTAATTAACATAGAGAGAAGGGGTAGGATTTAATAAGCGTTGGCTTCTTCATACTCTTTCTGAACATGAAAAGAGCAGTGTGTAAAAATTATCCCAAAAGTGGCACTGTACTCTCTCTAACTCAGGTTGCCAGATATGCACACAAATCCAGCTAGGACCATAACAGTTGAATAGACAAGAGTTTTGTCAACAACAATTTTATGACAAACATATTTCTCACAAAGACCCCGATAGAAATCCTCGTTTTATTCTTCTTCTTCTTGTTTTGTCAATAATGATTTGAGAATTATTGGAAAACTGTTTTAAGAACAGCTGCCACATGTTACTTTACCAGTTCTGGCTAACCGGATCACAGACTTTCTGATTGGTAAAACGGTGGAGGGCGGGACATCAAAATGAAGACAATAAAAAGATTTAGGGACTGTAAAACACATTTTTAAATTCAAATATGTTGGTTGAACCAATGATATCAGTTAAAGAAGTATTAGAAAAGAGCATGGTTTATTAATACCTTTTGACAGATCAGGGCCCTTTAATAATGACTTGACATGAAAATCTTACATATTGCCAATTTAAATCTAATTCTTGACATTTTTTCTTTGTTGTTGCCTTGTATTCATTGCTATTTGTTTTTCTGTTCTTACTCTGATGTTTTTAGTCCATGTTAAAATAGATACTTTTTTTTTCCCCCATAGGAAAACGCAGGCGTCCCGTAGCAGCAAAAACAAATACATCCACACAAACAAAACAAATAAAGTGATCAATAAACTCTCATTCATTCATTCATTCAAATTTGTTCCCAATATCGCTCAATATTATTGTGCATCCCTGCTCTAAACTCAGGACAAGTGTGAACAAAAGGGCCTCGAGTCTTAACCATGTTGTAGTAGTAGTATTAGTAGTAGTAATCTTTATTTATATACCGCCTTTTCACTGCACATCAGAGTCTCAAAGCGGTTTACAATTTTTATTTTTAGGGCATTTGTCTCTCGCTCCACACAGAGATGGGAGCGGGATCGCCAGTATAGGAGGCGCAGTTGTAAAGCCACTATAAGCAGGTGGGACTCACAAAACAGTCGGTGTCCTTGGGCCCCGAGCAGCCCCCAGCGCACTCTCGATGGCAGCAGTCACTGACGTAGGGGCCGAAGCAGCGGCCGTCGCACTGCTCTGCGCACACCGTCTTCGTCACTGCGCAAAGACAAACAAAAGGTATCATGGCCGTTTATCCTTCAACAGACACATGGACAGGGACAAATGAGGGGGACAAAGGTGGAATATGTGCGAGCAGAAGAAATGTCCTGTGTGGCCTTGGGCAAGGTTTTGAAAAAAGCTGAACATTTTTGGAAATGTGAATATTCAAATGAACAACACCTTAAAACAAATTTACAGTTGTTCTTCAATATTTTTATGCAAATGTATGTATTTTTGTAGTATTTATGAACACAATAGAAAATAAATTAAAATGGCATCTGTAAATAAACATATTGTCAAAGTATCCTGGACATTGCATACTGTATTTTTGCACAACACTTTAATAGACATGACAGAATGTGTAAGTGCTACAACACATGGCTTCAATATGTAGAAACAGAATGTTGCTTTTATCTCTATTCACTGAAATAAAAAGACAAGTTTGTTTGCAAATCAAAGTACTTAAAGGAGCTATACCCGTTTCTGCAAGGTTTGAATGTTTACTCGCTCACAGGCTTCTCATTTCTCCCACGCTCTCATCCCACGCAGCCATCTAGTTTTAAAAGCGATCTTTGTAAACATTAGCATGAGCGCAACTTCCTGTAAGCTGTACAACAATCACTGATGAAATGGTACAAAAGCAACGCACTGCTAACACAATATTTAACTGAAAGATTACGGCTAATTCTGCGTCCGAATGTAGTCCGAGCATAGACAGTCCGAGGTGGTCCGCACCCGCAGGTCTCTCCCATAGACGAGTCTCTCCAGAAGATACGATGTAAGCTAGCTATGTTCACCCGGGCTTGATTTCTATGATAATTTTTTTGGCTTTAGTTCCCTCTTCTCTTCCTCACTGTTGTATCATTTGGGCTGTTTTGCTGTGTCTGCAGTGACAGCAAGAGGAGTTATAGCCACTTATGCTAAAATGCTACTGTGTTTAGCAGCGCTGTAGAGGCTAGAGGACGCAGCCTCGATCTGTGATTGGAGGAGAGCGGGCGTCACGCTAAGTCACTACTCAGCACTTTTTACGGCCTGAATTCATACACAAGCTGAATTAATGAGCTCAAGTTTTCAATTACATTACAGATTATAATACAACTTGTATGTAGTAATAAGCATTTTATGAACTCATACAAAAAAAAAATCGGGTATAGCTTCTTTAACTAAATAAGACCACATTGAATTTATAAAGCCAACACAAGTATATTTAATGACAGTACATGCATTCATTTAAAATAAAACATAAAATAATAATAATAAACTCAAATAGTTCCGTCGTATGCATAGCTGTAGTACTTCTGTAAATATATGAAACACGTGAGGCTAACATTAGCTGTTAGCAGTGTGCTAACTCGCCACTCCTTCACATCGCCTTTCACCCCATGCTACACCACAACCCGGCCCACACCCACCACACCACCCACTCCCCCACCAAACCTAACCGTCCACCACCCAACATCCACCACATAAGCCCCACCCCACCATCCACCCACCACCCCACACCCCCCAAACCCACACAACCCTCCCACCCCCCCACACCCCCATACACAAACGACGTACACCCACTAAGCCACAAAAACTACGCACCCAAACCAACACTCAACCACCCCGAACACCAAAAGACCACCTCACTACAAAACACACACCTACCCTCAAACACACCACATCACAACTCTCACCCCAACCCACCATAACAACACTATCCACCCTACCCGTACGACAAGAGACACAACCCCACCACACACCAACCACGCCTCCAACTCCCCAACAACCCAACACCACACATAGACAATCATCCACCCACAACACTCCCCCCCACCACCTACTACCCCACACCTCAAACAATCCACTCCCGACACCACCAAACAACCCAACACACACACCCAACACTCACACCCCACACCCAGACCCACCACCACCCACCCCTCCACCCAACCACGCACCACCACACCAACCACCAAACAACACCCAAAACCCCTCCAAAACAACCAAACCTCACCACAACCACACCCCACCCTCCCCCACAACCTACACAACCCCACCAAATACCACGAAACAATACACCCCCCCCCACCGGAACAACCACCACCCCCCCCCCAACCACAACCCACCCACACCAACCCAGAACCCACCAACAAAAAAAAACCCACCCACCACCCACACCACCCCCCCAAAACCCTAACCCCACCCTTACCACCACCTTCCCCACACAACCTTACACACGCACACTAGACCCCCCTCCCGCCCACACACACCCACAAACACCACACCAACAACTCCACAAACCAACCACCCCCCCCCCCACAACCCACTACCCCAACAACACCCCACCCCATCCCAGCCCCCACCACACACCCACCACCATCACAATCCCTAACCTAACGACCACCCAACAACACAGACCCCCACTCCACCACACCAATAAACACACACACCACACCCACCCTCCAAGCAATCACAACCACCGTACACCCAACACCCAACTCATCTCCAAGCACCACCCCCCAAACCACAATATACCCAACCCTACCCCACAACAAACACAACCACATCCCATACCCACCACCCTTACCCCATACCCACACCATCCCAACAAACACGCCACACACGACACACCAACCTCATTACAACAACACCTCCCACCACCCAACACCACTCCAAACATCGAACCAGACTAACCACCACCAACATCAACTCCACATCACCGACGGACAAACCTAACACCCTACACACCCAACCCACCACCAACATACATACCACCCAACATATCTCGCACTAACCAACCCTATCCACACGATGTAATCACCTACCCCCCCCCACCCACACAACCACCACACCACCACCGCCTCAACCACCCGCCCACCAACACACACACCTCACACACCACACCTCCAACCCACAACCCGTCACCCAAACACCCACATACACCCACTCATAACCCCCACGCCCTCTCACTACGATCATCCCACCCACATCACCATACCACACCACAACACACACACACCCCCACACACACAACTACCCACACCACACCAGTAACCACTTACCCAACCACATACCACCACCCACATCGCCACCCTACATACAACCCCAACCAACACACCCCAACCCCCCGAAGACCAAACCCGTCCAAACACACACACTATAACCAAATCCCTAACACCACCCAACGACAACTCATACCCCCCAACACACACACCAAAACCACCCCCCCTCACCACCTAGACCCACACACCCCACACCCAAACCCACCAAGAACACAACAACACCACCAACATGACACACATCACGACCACCCCACCACCACATATCCTCCCTAAATCACAACCCCCAGCTCCTACCCACCACCATAATCCAACAGACCACACCCTAACCCACCCACACTACACCACACCACACCACAACCTCCATCATTCACACACACGCCCACACACACCACAGCCTGAACCCAGACCTACCCACATCTCCCCCAACCACCCTGTACCCTATACACCCCCTTACCCTACAACCCACACCCAAACCCCAACTACCACCGAACCCGCACACACTCACACCCCCTCAACCCACCCCCGCAACACCCATCACCCCCCCAACACCACCACCGACCACAACACACCAAACTCCAACCACCACCCCTAACACCCACACCCACCTACCTAAACCAACCTACCCTCCAACACACCACACAACACGTACCGCAACCGCGGCACACCCCCACACCAAAACAACACAAACACCTACCGATGTCACACCACTGCATCCCACACCCAATACCAACCCCCCGTAACACCCCACTCCTCACACACACCACAGCACCAACCCCCCCACCCCACTCCACCCAAAACCCACACCAAACAACCCTACCCACTACCCAAAATCCTCCCTCACCACACCCCCACCCCTACCACACAACACTCAACCCCCCCCACCACACCCAACACCACCACACACCCACACAACATCTTCAATAACACCACCACCTACCCCCCATCGCCCACCCACCCTCTCCCCAACACACACACACCCCACCACCACCACCAACCACCCCACCCTCACCTCACCACACAAACAACCCCCACCAACCCCCAACACCACACACCCCACACCAACACAAACCATTCAGCACCACCGCACCACCACACAGAACACCAACCCCCTACACAAAAACTACAACCCCACACCCCCCCACAAACCCCACCAACTCTCCACCACCTCCACCACAAAACAACTCCCACCACAACAAACAGTCCACTACCCCCCACACACAAACCCACATCCACCACACACACACCACTTCATCAAACCCCACTCAACCACAACAACCAAACGAACACCACCCCACCCCACACCACCACCCCACACCGCCCCACAATCACCTCTCCCAGCAGCAACACCCCCATATCCCCCCCACCACAAACACCCCCACCCCACACCCCACCCCCCAAACCCAAACACTCACACCCCCCCGAACACACACACTACCACACCCAACCCCACACATCAACAACCACAAACCCCACCACCACACCCAACCACCTCACACCAAACAAACCCCCCACCCACACCACCCACACCGACCCCCACACCACACACCCCAAACCAACCCCCTCACACTATAACCCCACCCCACCACAACACAAAACGACAATCACACACTCCAGGACAACCCACCAGCAACCCCCAACCCAGCACACCCCCCACTCATACCCACCCACCACACACCCAAACAAAACCACACCACTCACACCACCACAAAACCTACACACACATCCAACCCACCACTCAAATCTTACCACCCCCCACCCCCCACCCCAACACAAACATCCACCTCAACCCACACCAACAACACCTACACATCATCACCACAACACGCCCACACCCCCAGCCACCAACACAACCATCACCGCAACCACACCCCCCAACCCAACCCACCCCTCCCCCAAACGCCGACCCCTAACACCCACACAACACAACCACCCACAAACACACCACCCCCAAACTCACACCAAACCACCAACAATACATCACCCAGACACCCAACACCACATCCCCCATCCACATCCCACACCCAACAAACCATCCACCTACACCCCTAACCACTCCCACACAAAACCCGCCCACCACAACACCCGTCCCCGCATCCCACCAACTCACCCATCCCCCCCCACTCCGACCACCCCCATACCACAAACCCCAACACCCCACCAACCTCACACCCAAAAAGACCCCCACTCACCACAAACACACCACCCCACCCCAACACCCACATCTCCGACCCATCACCCAAACACCCCCCAACACACGACAACATACCCCACCCCACAAACACCCACCCACTACCACCACATCACCACTACCACACGACCCCAACCCCACCACCGAAACCCCCACACCACCAATCGTCCCAACACCCCCAACAACCCAACACGACACACACCAAACACAATCCAAACCCCCCGCAGACACACCCACCCGACCCCCTGACACCCACCCCACCCACTACACCACACCCCCCCAACCACATCCCACCCCACCACACTCCTCCCAACACACATACATCACCACCCCAGCAACCAACTCCACATCCACAACCCAACACCACCTATCCCCCCACCCACCACCAACCCACACTCCCCACCACAAAGCCCAATCCACCACACCACCTCCACCCACACCCACTCACTCCACCTCGTCCCCACACCACCCCCACAAACCAAACAGCACCACCCAACCCCTTCACTCGGCCCACCCACACACTAAACCAACAGTAAACCAACACCAACACGCACCACAACCCCCAACCCAACACACACCCACACCCAACTCCCCCGCACCCCACACCCCCAACCACACATCACAACATAACACCACCCCCACTAAACCCGCTACCGACACAAGAACCCAGACACCACCCTCCACCTCCCAATCACACCCTTCCCACACACACACCCAACCCTACCACCCTAACCACCGCACCCCCAAACAAAACCTACCCAGACCCACACAACCTACCCAACCTACACCTCAAGACTCCCCTATCCTCAACAACCCCTCCACACCACACAACCCCAACAACACCACCACATCCGCAACCCGCACAAACCACACCAAAAAGACCCACACCCCCAAACCAAAAAACCAAAACCCGAGCCCCACACCCCAACAAATCCCCCCAACCCTCACCTCAACACACCCCCCCACCCGCACCACACCAACCTCAACCACCCACCATACGAACCCACAGCACCAACCCCTTCACCAAAACACACCACCCACACGAACACACTAACACTTACAACCACACCCCACCCACAACCCCCAACTCCAACATACTCAACCACCCACCAACCTATCGACCCACACACAACACAAATCAATCGCCACAACACACCAAAACCAACACCCACACACAGACACACACGACGATACACGCCCCCGCTCCCTCCAACCCCAAATCAACCCCATCACCACTCAAAACCCAACCCACTCACACCAACTCCACACACCCCACACCCACCACACCAATCCCACCCCCCCACTCCCCACCCCGTACAACCCCACTCCAAACACTCCCCCACACAAACACACCACACCCACCCCCTACCAACCCAACACCAACCACCCCATCCCAACAGCAGCCACACACCCCACACTCGCCCAAACCCCGCCACCCCCTCCCATCAAATCACCAGCGCACATCCCCACCACACCAACAAGCCACACCACACCCCACCCCTCCCCAACACACCCAACACCGACCCCCCAAAGCCCACCCACAACCACCCAACCAACTCCCCCCCACCACCCGCCCACACCCACCACACATAACCACCCACACAACTACACCCATCACACACCACAACCAACCCCACCTACCACAACCCACCACCACACCCCCGCACATCCCACATAACTACAACCAAACACCCAACCACCCCCATCCACACCCATACACCTAATAACCCACCCTGCCGTCACTACATTCTCTAACCAGCACTCCACACGCACCACACACCAACCATCACACAAACCACCTTCACCACAAACCACAACCCCACCATACACACACCCCACACACAACAAACACATTCCATACACAACATACTACACAACCACACAACCACTCCACAAACAACCACCCACCCACCAAACCAACAACACCCCACCCTACAACCCAACCCCGAACCACACACACACCCAACCCTCCCCACACCCACACCCACAACACACACAACAACTACCGCCAACTACCCACCCACCCCACCAAAACCGGCACACACCCCAATTACCTTCCCCCTCACCACAGCCCACAACACCACACACCTTCAACAACCTCCACAACCGCAACACCACCACTACCCACACCCCCCCCCACTCCACCTCAGCCACCCCACCATACATCACGCACACGAACAACTCCACACCAAACCCGACCCATAGCAAAACTAACTCCACCACACACACCCCCGCCCACCACCACCACACCCAACCGCAAACTCAAGCTACCGCACTAACCACCCCACCACCCAACTCAACACACCCCCCAACACCCCACACCCGCACACCAATAACGGAACACCAATCCTTATCCACAACACACACACACCACCCCACCCACCACACCCTCCCACCCCCCCCTCCCCCACCACCCACCGACCACAAAAACACAAAACCCACACCCACAAACAACCAACCCCACACCAACACTGACCCCCCACAAGATCACCCAACTACTGCACCACCCCAACTACTTAACCCACACCTTACACACAATAAACGACCCCACCCACTCACCACCACAGTAAAACGACAAGCGACACCACCAACTCACCCACAACACCCCCCTCACCTCACACATCCCCAACACCCAACCACACCCCAACCCCCATCACCAATCCGACTCCTCCCCCCCATTCCCAACAACCGACCACACCCAAATTCGACCATCCCACAACCACCCAACAACCCCACCCCACACCAGCACTTCCACCACCTCAACCCCCCACAACCACCAAAACCATCCTACACCAACCCCTACCCCCACAAACACCACCACCACACCACCAAACAACACACCCCCTAACCACCCAAACTCACACACTAACTCACACAACAACCTCACAACCACACCGCAACCACATCACCACAAACAACACCCCCATCACCCCACACCTCGCACCCAACGACACCCGCCCACACCACCCAACAACACAACACCAAACCTACCACCACACCAACACCAACCCATCTACACACCCCACCACCACGACCCCCACCCACCCGTCCAACCACCCAAACGCCAACACACAAACAGCCCACCCCACAACACCCCCCCGAAAAACACCACAACCCAAACAACTCACAACTCACAACCCTCCCCACACAACCCACAACCCCCCCCCCCCCACCTCGCCCACACGACCACACTACCCCCAACACAACACACACACCCCCCACCCACACCACAAACCTCAGACACACGACCACATCCACCCACAGACACAAACACACACAACCACCCCACACTCGCTCACCATCACCCCACCTACCCACACCCCAAGACTCTACCCCCGACACGAGCACAACCCCCATACCCACACCAAAACACACCCCAAATCCAACCCCACAACACCAAACCCACCGATCCCAAACCCCACACAACACAGGCCACCCCTACAAAACCACTCTCCAAACACCCCCACCCCAAGCACACACCCCCACACAACACTCACCACCCAACCCAAAACACCACCACCCACCACTCTCCAACAAACAACATCCACCACCCACCTCCAACAACCACTCCACACTCCTATACAAAACCCCCACCACAAACAAACACCACACCCTACACAATCACCCTCCCCCACCACACACACCCAACCCCCACCCACTCTTACATCCATAACCCACCACCCCACCCACAACACCCACATCAGCACAACAACCCGCCCCCCTCTTACACCACTTCCACCCAACCACCCCAAAACCAAACCTTCCAACACCCCACCCCAAAACCAACAAACAATCCCCCAAACCAAAACCCCCCACACCCACCCACCCACACCACCACCCACCAACCACACCAACCACACACATCTCCCCCCAAACCGCAAACCCCCAGCCAAAAGCACCACCGCCCAAACCCCTCACTTCCACCCTCCGACAACCACACCAACCCCCACCCCACACCCCCCCCCAAACCACGACCACACAACTCCAACACCACAGCACCCCAAACCACTCCCCCCCCCCATCCCACCACCAATCCATCCACACCCCCCCCCTACATAACCCACCATCCCAAACCAACACAAAACACCGCCACCGCCACCCACCCACCTACCACCACCCACAACACCCCCTAAGCACCAAAACCCACTTCCCCACCCAACAACCCAACCCCACCAAATACACTACCCCCCGACCCCCCCAGCCAAATCACACCGACAACACCAGCTCATCCCCACCAGACCCCACAAACAACCACACACCCCACCCACCTAACACCCCCCCCCCCACTCCCACACATACACCACACTGCCCAGCCAACACCCCACACAGCACTAAACCCCAACACACCCCCCTCAACCACCCACCCAACACCACCACACCACAACCAACCACACCACCACCACCACCCACAACCCCCCCTCCTAACACTAACCAACCCCAACCAACCACCACCCAACCACCGACCCCGCACCACGAACAAACCAACCACACCCACCAACCCCACCACAACCAAACTAACACCCACACCGACACCACCCCCACCCCACCCCACACACCCGCCCCAACCTAAAACCACCACCAACCCCCCCACCTCCCCCCCCATCACACACACACACTCACAAACACACCCAAACCCCACCCCCACACCCCACACTTACCACACACCAGCTCCAAACCACCCCAACAAACCTCCGCCCAACACATACACCCCCACCGCACCCACTCACCACCCACACCACAACCAAACCCCACCAAACAACACACCACCCACCACACTCCCACCCCCACCCACAAACACAACTCCAACCACCCCAAGCACAACAACCCCCCAACCACCCACCAACCCAACCACCACAAACCACACCAAACCCCACCCCAACACATACACCCACCCACAACCACCCCAACCAACCAGCACAACCTCACACATCCAACCCCACCACGCACCCCACAACCAACCCACCATAATCACAAGTACAACCTACACCCACAACCCACCCCATCCACCATCAACCTCCAAAACTCAACGAACCCCACACTCACCAACTACACACCCACCCTCACAACCCACAACACAACCCCACCCAACATCCAGAAAACACAACACAAACACGCCACCTACCCCCACCACAAACAAAACACCCCCACAACTCCCCCACCCACCACACACACCACCAACCCACCACCACCATCCACTCCCCACTCACCTAACACCCCCCAACTCACAAACGCCACCCACACCCAACCTACCAACCACTCACCACAAACCCCAACCTCTCATCCTCACCCCCACCAACCCCACCAAACCACACCCTAACCACACAACCACACACCACCAACACCCCACAGGCACACAACCATCACATACCTCCCCACAACCACATCCCTCACACACCCTCCAAACAACCCCAACCCACCAAAACCTACCACCCCCCACACACAAACTCCACACACCCAGGTGCCCAGAAGCCAGGTGAGAGAGCGAGAGAGAGAGGGGAAGCCGCTTTTTGAAGCATCCGGGAGGTCACATGACTTCCCAGCTGCCTCCCATCATCTCAGAATGTCATGAACACTGCCACCACAGGCCCAGCAGAGGGGGCCGTCACAACCACCTTTTTGAAAAAAAGTTTCAGACGTTACTTTACTAAGAAAGAGAACTTTGCACATCAATTGCTGGAGCAGGTGCATAGAAAAGGGGGAGTCCCGGTGCTCATGAAAAAAAATATGGTTCCCGCACACTGCTGTCCTTGCAAAAAATGTTTTTAAAAACAATTGAAAGAAGGACAATTTTGCAAGGACAGCAGTGTACGGGAACCATTTTTTTTTTCCAGACGTTACTTTACTAAATTATCTGAAATGTTCAAAGGACTAACTCATCAAATTAAAATAGTATGTACAATCTTGTTATTCGGCATGGATACATTAGGATCCATTCCTTAGATATCCCATATCAACCCATTAGATTAATGCTATCAACCAGATTGACCAGCTGTAAGCAAGCAGCTGTCAAGCTAGCCACGGCAAGTGAACATTCCCATTACGTCAGTAAAATGACGCATGCGCATGCAGCCTCTCCGAGTCTATAGATTGTAAATAATGGTATGGTCCTGCGTCTACCACACATAGACTCTGCTGTGTTGTGTCAGCTTCTTATCAACTAAGAAAAAAAGTGTTGTTGGGTGTCAATATGTGTTGACACTATTTGGCCCAAAGATGTGGAATGAGGTGAATGTGGCTGGACTTTATTCACAGGGATCTGCATCTGAAATCTACAATGTATCCTTTTTTCTGCAAGTGACACTTCACCAAAGAAGGTCCCAGAATTAAAGTTACTAAGAAGCTTGAAACTTGGTTTTTATCTCAATAAAACACAATAAAACACACTAACGAGGAGCATAGATCTGTAAGAACAGTACCACTAGATCGATAATTAGAGTCAGATTCTGGATCGAGGTCATGGGGCTCTAAATGACGCATTTTTGGACAAAGTTTATTCTCAGGCCTGAGATGACTATCTTAATTTGCAAATAGATTGTAGGATACATGGAAAAAATACATTGAAAGTATACATGACGTAGTGATATCTCACAAACTCCTGTATAGTTTGGTCTGACCTTCACTTGCCTTTTCTGAATGCATTTCAATACTATAGGTCTATAAGACTTGTATTAAAGAAAACATAAAGCACTTCTGTCTTTTTAGACAGGAGCAATGGGGTTTGCTTGTGAAAGAATATTACATTGAGAGGTAAAATAAGTATAACATGCTCAAAAGCCTTTGAGTAAATGTTGCATGTTATGTCCCCTTTAAAAAGGATGTTATATGATTTGACTAATTTGTCTAATTAGTTATTATAAATTATTATTATATACACATATATTGGTTATATTTTTACAGAAGTGTCATTTATATGTAACGGTAATGAACTCGTAAATATCACATTTCCACTTTTCACTTTGACTGACTAAGCCTATTGCTTGAACACAAATATCTTCTCTTCTTGGTATGTTGGATGTACAGGGAAAAGGAAAAAAAAATCTATAGGAAACTTCTACACTTAAAGTAAAAGGTTATTTTGCCATGGCCTACTCCCAACTGAAAGCATTCTTACTGGAAAGGTTAGCCATACTTGAATGCCAATAATGCATTTACTATTTACATACAGTGCATTGCACTGTTCCTATATGACTTTATAATATAAAAAAATACTACCAAGCATAAAATAGCCCTCTTTTTGGCCTTAGCTTACGATCAAAAACCCTATTAGCCATCACAACCATTAGACGCTAATGCAAGAGTTGTGTAGCTTGCATAGCCTGGCAGACGCTATACGCGTAGTCGGTCGAATCGATCACAGCTTTGAGTTGGAAATTTACAAAGCGGTGTAATAAGATAAACAAGCCAGTGCTGAATAAAAAAACCATGGTTTCTCGCTGGAAAGGTCGGTTAAGGTGAGGACAACAGGCAAGGGGAGTAAACAACCAAACAAGAGACCAGGAACACAAAAGGGGATTGTGGCGAGAGAGCCAGGAGAGAAGAGGCAAGGATTTCTCTAATTAGGAAGCTGTTTTTTGTAAGGAAGGGTCCAAAGAAGAGTCAAAAGGGATAATGGCATTGCAGCGGCTTAAAGAACGACTCAGAGGAAAAGCTATATTTGGGGAAGTTCAAACCCCCCTTTACGGACATAGAAAGCATTTGGTAGAAGTGGTAATGAGTTCATTTAATTGTAAAGATCGCAGCGTTTATGGGCGTCATAATGGCTCGGAGTCCGCAGGCTGTTTGAGAAGTGAAGCGCGGTGTGGAGTCGACAGAAAAGTCACCATTTGTACTGAATGCCAGACTGAGTAGCAAGATCTTGAAAGGAAACCTGACAAATACAGTGGCGTATACAAGATTGTGGGTTTAAGATATGGAAATGACTGGGATCTTTATTCATGTAAAATAATAATTTCAACAATGCATCTTATAATGCAGAGTACAGATTTCACTATTGTACTCAAGAAAAGCTACATTTATAAAAGATTGTTTACGTTGTATTAGCCTGGTACAAATTACATTTCGTACTAAGGTCTGGATTTGCTCCATTGAGCTCTGTTAACAGGTGGGAGGGGTTAACTCCTTTTGCAAATTGAAACGATTGGATGTTAGTTTACCGTGACATATGTAATGCGCCTGAGTGAATCGTTAGCATTTAGCCTAGCCATCTCCTTTGCCACTACCGGAGCCCGTGGGGGGAGTAGCGCCACAATCTTTACCAGCAATTACATTTGCTAAACTCTTGCTCCGGCTTCAATTTCTTGATAGAACCAGAACAGAATACTAAACTATCGCATTCTTTGCCTTTGCCAAACTACAACCTGCCCGTTAAGCGCAAACTCTTGACATCACCCACATCTACCTTCCTTTAGACACTCAGAGGCACATTGATGGATCAATTGTCATGACTAACTACAAGGGCATTGAAAAGATGTGTTCCTTCTTTTGTCCCTGATACCACATTTTCTTGGTTTTAGCTTTGCCTGGTAAGTCATTCAGGATCAATCTTGTAACATTGTTTGGAAATCATATAGATTGCAGAAGAGATAATTGACATTCAGGTTTTGAAAAATAAAGGTCTGTAGTGCCAGTCAAGTAATACAACAACATTGTATTTGGCAGCCCATAAATGATTATGTATCAGTGGCTTGAGGGCTGAAAAAGTGAGTCTACCCTGAAATGTACGATTAAAAGTATCACTGAAAAAGGCTTTAATGGATAAAGCCTTAAAAGTTAAACTGTGCAGCTTTAATACTAAATGCACATTTCTCACTCAGTCCAGTGTATGTGGACAGAGAGAAAACAGTTTTGAAACTTGTCAAGTGGGAACATAGTGAACAGGTGAAGGTCGAGTCAGAAGTCACTGATATAAATACGTTGACATTTTTAGAAATGACTGCACTTGTTTTGTTTGGGTGTTGGACAGCCGATCGATGCTGATGGAGTAATGTTGGTATGAAGCCCAGAGTCAGGAGAGGGTGGCCTCAAATGGAAGAATTAGTTCTGGCTGCCCTGAGTGTATTACCTGCAAACAATATCATAGCGTAGACAATATCTGGAGTGGAAATGATATACTTTGACTGAAAATTGAATGTTTATTAAGATGTAACATTCTTCAATATTATGCAATCAGTAGGCAAATTATGTCTCTATTTTGCTTAGTAGTTTGATTCTTATTTTTGTATATTCATTGTATTAATGTTCAAGTCTAATACTTTAACCGGCGATTCTGTTATCACAACTATTGTCATTGTGTGGATCTTATTTTTGTACTTTGGTTTTATTTTGATATCAGTTCTCTGTGCTTTGGTTTTAGTTTTACTTCCTGTCTTGTTCCCCTGTCTTGATTGTCTGCCCCGCCCTGATGTGATTTACCTGTCTCTCTGTCCAGTCCCAATACCCAGACTGCACCCTACACTCCTCTACAAAGTGTGCATTTGTTTGAAGTGCACGCAAGGGTTCGAGTGCGGAGGTTACAAGCGTGCAAACAAGGTGGAATTGGGATAGTGCACACTGAGTGCAGGTTACGTCATCGACTCGTCGAGAGATGGTCATTTTCAGACCTAAACTTTGTAAAAATTAAAAGGTAATTTTGTCTGACCCTGTGGGAAACAAATGTTGCTCCACACACGTTAAAATAAATGTATATTGATTTTTTGTAATTTGAGATAGGATGTATAAAAAAACTGTCTAGATAACAGCTAAGTTTATTGTACTAAGTGTAAAGTTTAAATGGAATGTTATATGAACGCTTGCTTTAAAAAAGTTATGAAATTGTTACCATAGAATGTCCGTAAATACATTTATGCTACTTTCCAAGTAACATACTTACACTTAAGGCATTTTTTTGGGTGTGTACTGCAAAGAATTATGGGCAATATCCTTTGCCAGAGTCCGCTTCAATGCAGACTACAGAGAAGTGTGGATCAGAGGTGCAAAGGGGGCGGGGCGAAAGACCTCCCTGGAGAATTGGGACACCCTACACACTCGCAGCCATCATCGGGAACACGCAAATGAGGGGCGCGAGGGTGGAAGGGCCTATGTGTACCCTGTGCCCCTCTCCCCTTGTGGCTGGTCCATTGTATTGTTAACGTTCTATTTTATCTTATCAAATCTTGTTTCCTTATTTTGAGTTTAGTTTTCACCTGGACTTTTATTTTATTAAATCATTATTTTTTGCATTCCTGCTTTTTGAGTCCTCATTTCCACCTTGTGACAACTATTGCATTCAAAATACCCCAAATGACCCAAACCTAGCTACAAACAGTACTATATATCAATAAGATGATTGAAACCTTACCTGTCCATCAATCCTACACAGTCTTTAAGTCTTGGCCCCACACATCTGCAGAAAAATGAAACAGAACAAATCAAAACATGACTTTTCATTTTATCTATAATTCTCTATAAATTAACACAGTATTGAAGGTGAGCTTTCATTTCTGAGCAGCATTATTTACTACAATAAGCAATTTTAACTAGAATACAAGTTTTTGTGTGAACTGTGGCAAGAAAACAAATTCTCAAATATTTGGAGAACTATGGTCCCTCATTGACTTCCACTTTATTTTAAGATAATGCCTTAATCATTCTTTAGCACGGTATGTAGTTCAACCATGAACAGGTCACACAGAGCATTGTGAGTTCTAGAGAAGGCAAACACACAAACAAGATAACTCGTGTACGTATGAATGAATGTTTGCAAACCTCCTGCTTTGTTTTTGATCAGTAAGACACAATCTGACCCTCTTAAAAGTGTGGAAGAGCCAATTACGGACAAAAACTTGCTCTTTAACTTATTGCATTAGCTTTGGTTGTAGATCGCTCTCTGAATGGAAATGATAAAAACCAAAGCTCGACATATTTATTGCAGAGCGTGTTTTAGTACTACTCCCTTCAAATTTTAATACGAGCGTCTGCGTCAGTTTGAAATCACTTTTGACAAGTTTGCAGCCTGTCTTTTTCAGCTACAAATCGTGGCATTTGAAAACTTCTGGGCCCAGCTTATCTGCCATGTTTAGCGGCTATTTCTAGTTGTTGCATCATGTTGTGGCCAAAACGGTTTTTCCACAAATACTACCACCATTGCTGGCCTCATATACAGCAGACTAAAGTGCTATCCAAGGCCATGCGTTGCTGGTCGGTGTTGTACCGTGTCATGCTATATTTTGTCTATTTCAGTACAGCTTGTCGCGCCAGGGGCTATGTTTGCGCGCACAAGAATGGTGGGGTCAGAGGCCAGAACCGTAACAAGCCTGGAGGTAGACGTCCTGACATGGAAGCCAATTAAAGTAGATGCTTCTTAAATAAAACATTTTGCACAGGCTGAGGCAAGAAAGTTGTGGTTTCCAGTACCGCAGTTGGAAAGTACATACAGTGTTATGAGAGTGTGTATAAAACTTTATATGCACGTTATTATGAAATGGCGGCGTTAAGAGCAGTTACTAGTAGTAGTAGTTGAGGTAACAACAGTAGTGGTAACAGTAGTACCACAGTATACAAGTAGTAGTAGTAGTAATGAAGATGATAGCAGCGGTCATGGCGGTAATTGTAATTGTGTTGCAAAAGTAGTATTCATACTAGTAGTAGGAGTAAGTATTTGTAGTGATGTAAATGTACACTTTATGTATCCATGTAGGGCACTTTGCCCTGTAGTACAGCGCCTAGGGAGCCATCTCCAGTTGTTGAGGCTTGACTCTGTTTAGTGGAAGGGGAGACTGCTAACCTTGCCTGTAAGCTGAATTCTTGCAGTAGTAGTAGTAAAAACAGTAGTAGTACTGCTGTTTTTTATGGATGTAACAATAGAAGTAGCAGTTTCATTATCAGTAACATAACATAATAACTCAAAAGATTGCATTATTCATGTAATCCACTGACATAACAATTATGTCCACTTATGTTACTTGCCAACACTTTTATCCAGTAGAGACTCCACCTGTGCCTTGAAGCCTTCTCTCAAATCCTTGTCTAACCATTGTGCTCAAGCTGAACGCAAACCGAATGTTTGCTAATTAGCGCCTTGCCGCATTGACAATGAGGCCTCAGATTTAATTCCAAAGCAAGCTCTTGCTCCTCATTTGCCAGGTAATTTGTTGTGTCTTGTGTCGCGCGCTAACAAACACGGCAAAGCAATCAAAAAGTGTCCTCTGGAGTCCGTCCCGCTGTCCCTCACTCGGGAGGCAGAATTAATGAACAGCCCAGCGCTAATCACTGCCTGTTTAGAAAAAGGTGGAAAAAAAGGGAGAAATCTGATCTGGATACAAACAAAATAGATTCAAATATGAAGGGGGGGCCGAAATGTCTGTATTGCCATTTGCTTTGCGTTATTTCTCAGAGAATCTAGTAATCTTTCAAACTGGTCAGCAAACAACAAACAAGTTTGGGCCAAGTTGAGTCACGTTCTTGTTCAAATGTGTGAGATGGCCTTTCTAATATTTCATCTAAAAATACTAAATTGCGTTTGCCTAAACAACCACCTGCATGTAAAAGCCAGATCAAGGCAGGGCCTACAGCAGGTTAGGTTTATGCTTGTATAGCCCTAAAAAATAACAGTGGTTATCTGAAAGGACTTAACAAAACCGTTGAATTCACAAACACAGATCAGAGAATCAAACAGTTCAAACAAAAGAATAGAGCACACATAGGTATTGGTCCATAGGGAGAGTTAATCACCACAGTCCTATCAGTGGTTAGTACTGTGATGGGAGACCTCCAGTGGCGGTAAAGAGCCAAACTGACGTTGTAGGTAAGACACTTCACCCTGATTGCCCAGCATGAGTCTCATGTAGGGATGTAAAAAACTATGCATTTTCATGACCGACCACCGAGCCTCATTAACCGGTTGAAACCGGTTAACCGCGTAGTTTAAAATATTCCACGTTCTTTAAAATAGCAGCCATTTCGAGCCGCGTACTTTTCATAAGTTTATCTATGCGTTCTACTAGATCAGAGCTGAGACAGCGGCGCCAAAACCCGCAACAGCTTCGGCACCTTTGCGCACAGAGAACTGCTTTTTTAATCTTCCCATACTGTGCTGCAGGTTAAAGCATTTTTAAGCAAAAGACTGCTTGTTCACATGGTCAGAGCAGCGAGTTACACGCCGCGTCTCGCAGGTCTCCGCTAAAGTTTAAAAGTGATGTGTGTGGATCTGATCTAATGACAAGGACCAGCAGCACAAACATGTTTCATGTGTTTGGGGCCGCGTATTTGCGAGGATTCTTTGGTCTGCGAGACACAGAGGTACGCGACAGCCCGGTATGTGTGTGTGTACAATACATGTATGTATGTGTGTGTAAATATAAGCTCCAATGTAGTTCTGACCTGCACTAGTGTGGAACTTTGGCGGTAACAGAGGGGAGAGATGATGCGTGTGGATGTTACGTATGGAGGGGGGGAAAGTGTTTGTGTGTGTGTGCGCGCGCGCGTGTGCGTGGCTGCGTGCATATGTGGAGCGTGCGCCATGAAAGTCGCCCGTAGTCTACTAATGCATTGGCGCACACAGCTAGATACGGACCCGCTCGTCACATCGTACAAATAGGGCTTAAATAGCCTTATTAAGAGACCTCCCCTCTCCGCTTTTTCTTATTTTTAACCGACAGCTTTGACCGGTTAACGCTGTGACGGTCAACCACCGGTTAAACGGTCACCGATTTACATCCCTAGTCTCATGTGTACTGTAGTAGTTTATTACCACCGTCAATGGTAGTAGTAGTAGTATTTGTTGTAATAGTAGTGCCCTGTGAGTCACTGAGTCCTGTATTTTCACTTCTCTAACTGAAAAGTAAAGGTTTCCAAATAATATTCTATTATTATAATTGTATTTATTTATCTATTCACCATATTACATACATTAATCAAATGTACATTTGTACAACATGAACAAACAGGACCTGGAGGATATTGGTTGATATAAGCCGACAAGGTATTTTTAAATTCAATTACCTTTTTCTTTGTCTTTGTTCTCGTTTCCTTCCATTTATCTTGTCCCATGCCATGTCCATAAGCACTGTTCTATCTCTCCCTTGTACCGATACTCATTTGCCCTTTGCTCCTGTAACACAGAATCCTCTTTGCCCTGTCAGACCCCTCTTTAAAGCACTCCTGCGGCACAGATCATCTTTTCCGCTGCCTTTTCGGGTCAACCGCTTGCAGCACTGACCGAGTGCGTTCGCCTCCCCAGACGCTTCCCCCTTCATCCCCTTTACTGCAGCACTTATAGCAGTAAGACTCACACAACGCTAACACAGATTGTGACATTTCCACCAAGGTTTTTCTAGAGCGTGGTTTTATTTCCACTCATGTAAAGTTAAAATGTGATCCTTTTTTAACGTAATGATCAATATACTACTAGATTACTACTTTTGCTTCTAAAACGGCTTTGAGTTAATACAAAGTTTTTCATTCTTGTCATGATGCTTCCAATTGTTTAACTTGTTCATGGGTTATTGTATAATATTTTCTTATCTTTGTAGAAATGTGTGATTTCAGTTTCCTGACAGTGGTATTTCTGAGAGATAGGAACATTTCTTTTGCTTTAAGGAACATATTTACAGTCTGTCAAGTCTGTTTCAGGGCGGCTGTGGCTGCAGTTTTATCCTATTAGAGAGAGTAAAAAGGACCATGGCAGTGTAGGGACTCACCCTTGGGTGCAGTTGGCGTGGCATGGGTGACACTCGTTGTTGGCCTTGGCATATTTGAAGATGAAGCCGTGGGCGCCCTGTACGCCGTCAGGACACTTCTCCACACAGTTGGGTCCGTCTTTGAAGTGCAGGCATTTGACGCACTGGTCTGGGCCCTAAGGGGACGAGATACAACGATAATAGGGAATAATGCAGTCATACTTAAGAGCGATCCTCTCCAGCCTTTGCAAGCAGAACGCTGGTATTGTTAGGGCTTGTGTACTGTTTTATAAAAGAATGATGGAGAGTGTTAGCCTCGAACCAAACAAAATAAATGATACAATACACTCACACACTACCATAGACTCACAAATGTAGCTATCATTTATTTTAAACAAGATCTTATAATGCCTAAACCAAATATGAATCATATAATCATACAGAAAACAAATATTGATTTATTATGTATACAAAAAGTACCCTGTGTATTTAGGATATGATGTCTAACTGCATTAGGATACAGTACATATGGTACATTTGGCATCTTTTCCCTTCTTTGGTGCTAAAAGATTGACTTTTTTTAACGTTGGTGTATTGAATAAAAAGCTAATTTCATATAAACTCTCTTTCACTCTTCTGCAACCACTCCTCCAGCTTCGGAAGCTCAGCCCGAGTGCACGCATCACCACGGGCACCACTGTGACCTTTACCTTTCATCAATTTCTTTTCTTGTCCCAAAAAAGAAATATCTAGTAAAATCGTGTGAACAAATCAGACAAACATCTCAAACATGTGTATTCTACTCACTATTTTACTCTTTGAGCTGATAACTTGGGTGCTTTCTTTTGTACTTAAAAGTACAGTAAAAGAAAAAAAATCAAAAAACGTGACAGGGGCCAGAGTACATGTGCAAACAAAGTGATAGAACCAACTGTTATGAGAGTGAGGCACGAGTTAGATGGATTTGGCTTTATATACAGATTAATTTTTTGAGGGAACAATGTTGTAACATGGTTCAAAAAAAAAATGCATACAGTATAAACATTTCAGGAACAACATTCGAGTTAGTTTACAATAGTAAGATGTGTGTGGAGAAGTCAGCAAAATGCTCACACTATTTCTAACACTTTGCTTTGAAAAGGCACAATGAAGCAGAGAATTGCATTTATTTGAAAATCAGGGCCAAAAGAAGGCAACTGTGAATAAAAAAAACATACATCTTCACTAAAGCCTATCCAGTCTCAGTGTGAGATATGAGAATGGATCGCTGAAAACTTGGCGGCGGTAGCGAATTGTCCGGATTGGATTCAAACCTGGCGATTCCGTCAATTTGCCCACTTCCCGCTGCGGCTAAAGTAACCGACGGGGCCCGCATGAATCCATTCACACATTTATTACACGTCCGCACAAATTGGCCGGAGTGTATGCCGCCGCTGCGTGTGCAAAATTGGCGAAACCCGTACGGGATTGGCTTGTGTCAAAAATCACCATGTGGAATGTGATGAGAAGACGGGCTGGTGGTGGTGGTGCTGGGAGTAAAACAGCAGCGTGGAGGAACAGTGGATGGACTGGGGATAGGACACGTCTCCCATTGGATAGTTTCTTCTGTAGGCTTCAGCCATCCGTACTTATTTCTAATTTACAAAGACTTTAACAGGCAAAAAATTACAAAACAAACCTATTAAACGATACATCACGTGCAACATTTTCACTGCTTTTGACTATGTTCAGAACCGCAAACTGATAAGAACGTCTGGATCTAAATTGTATTTATTTTATTTCTTGATTCAATAATCATAATTTTATTCTCAACATTATATTAGATTATATTCATATTCATTCTATTTTATTGTGTTTCCTGCAGACATACAGCAGAGTGGAGAGGGGTTTAGCAAGAAAAAATTTCCTTCATTCTACTCTACTACATTTTAGAATATATACATGTACTTGTTTGTATACTTTTTAGTTATGACCTCTCAGTAAACTGTTTTAGTTACCTTGTTATGGATCATCACAGTACAGGCCCAAATACTTTTATGAGCAGTTGTAGACAATATAAGTATGAGTAACTTAAATCAAGCGTGTTCTTGCAGTGCGGCAGATATCTGAAATGTATAAGGATTCAAGTTTTATTTTAACCTGTTGCTATTACAGTAGTTTAAAGTACTGTTCTGTTGCACCCTGAATACTTCCTTCTGACTGCGTAATTCATTTTTACATTGCCTCGTGTGAGTTGAACCATGTTTCTTTTTGCATTTTACACTTTAGCTTGTGTGTTGTATTGCAGAGCTTAGATAGACAGTTCCATCTCTCCTTTTTTTGTCCCGCCGTCTAAGCCTCCCCTACATCAATAAACATGAGCGTGATTGTGTCAGAAGTGCTGCTGGCATGTGTCTGCGTCCTCCTCTCTGCCTGTGTATAGACTCCGGCTGATTGACTCCAATGATATTTACTGTTGAAGTGTGACCACGCAACTTTTAGAATGCTAACCGCTAACGGGGAATTTACACAGTAGGCGTAAACAGCGCGTACGCGTTTACTGCGCGCTCTCTGCGCGTAACATTTTTTTGGAGTATCTACACTGACCGTGCGCGCAGGTCCGCGGCTTCTGATGCTTTCCCTGTGTAGTCTATGGAGCAGTGTAGAGGACAGTACGGGCCAGAGGACTGATGTAGAGCAACACAAATCACATGCATGTGTTTGTCTTCATGGTCTCTGTGCGCTGGTTTGGCCAGACGCGAGACTTTATGAAAGAAAAAAAACGATGTCCAGAATCACTGTAAAACCTGCTGCTCCTCCTGCTGATGTTTAGACACAAGTGCTGTGTGTGTGTGTGTGTGTCTGTGTGTGTGCAGATGTGATCTAAAGCCAAGGACCGCTAGAAAAATCATGTTTTACATGAGATTTCAATGGGAGACGCGTTGGTGCGCGCACAAAATTAGAAATCCATCCTAAATTAGAGCGCAGCTTCGCGTCACATGTCCGTCATACGCACGTATAACGCTAGAAGTGTAAATATCATCATAGGTTAACATGGAAAAAAGTTATGCGCGTCTGCTGCGCGTATAACGCGTACGTGCTGTAACGCGTGATGTGTAAATTAGCAGTAAGACACATCGCATTCAGGCTGGAATGGTTAACACATAAGTTAACACTAAATATGCATGAATTGGCTTTTTAATGGGACAATACACATTTTCCTTCAGTTGGTTGGTTATAGGTCAGTTTTCTATTTTAGCTTGCTGGAAGTGGGAAAAAACAAAACAAAAACATGCAATAAATAAATAAACAGATCCATGAACAAATACAGTTAAGATGGTGAAGTCAACTGGATGGGTGCTACATGATGGGCCCCCGGAAGACCACCGCTCCTGATAGAGGCAATGAAGGATGGGTCAAATGCTGAGGACAAATTTCCCTGTGGTGATAATAAAAAATAACTTTAGCTTTTAGACAGAGACCAAAAAAAAAAAAACATTAACAGCGTGGACATCTGCTAGCTCTGTCCACCTTTACACGGTAAACAAGAAAGCAATGTCTGGGTTACGAAAACTTACTATTGTGTAATTTTTTTATAGTTATTACATTTGTATACATTTTACAAACAATTTACATAATATCCTTGATTAAGACACATTTGCTAACCCTCTACATTTCTGCTTTGATTTCATGAAGGACTTTCTAAGATTATATAAATCCAGATCTGATTCCATTGCTGGTGGAACTGGGTTTATCATGCTTTTTCTCTCTGCTCTATCTGGAGTCACTGTCTCCAAATGTATTTCTAAAGGAAATTCCATCAATCCAATCTGAATCTGCAAAAGACTAATATGACTTTGTGGAAGGTCAAAAACTAATCTGGACACGCGTTTGGGGCGTGCGAGCCAAAAAACTGCACCTCAAGAAGCAGCAACAGTAGTTTATCATCCCCCCATTAACCTAGTGCTTCACCTTTGCAAACGTGGAGGATGATATTTGTTTTTTTTTACTTTCTGATCCTCTCTTTTGCTTTCAACCCCTTTTTCACAACTTAATCTTTACTTTTGGATCATTATTCAAAAGAGAAGGTCTTGGGTTTTGTAGAGAACATAGACAGAAAATGACACTGGGGTTCGAGAGTTTGAAGAGATAGTGACAAATGAGGGCTTTGGTACATGTATACATATCCTGTTTGTCAGCAATAGGTTTCTCCTTTTTTAGGTCCAAGGTTTTTCTAGGAATGTGCTGAAATCAAAACTTCAACTTGGGGGTAACCCTCTCCAGATCCTTTTCCTTCAGACCCTCTCCTCTCTCACTGTCACCTTTTCCTTCAGACCCTTTCCTCTCTCTCTCTGGGCGGCACGGTGGCTGAGTGGATAGCACTCTCGCCTCTCAGCAAGAAGGTCCTGGGTTCGAATCCCGGTCGGACCAGGGCCTTTCTGAGTGGAGTTTGCATGTTCTCCCCGTGTCTGCGTAGGTTTCCCCTACCACTAAAAATATGTACAACAGGTCTGGCATGCGCCTCCTGTTCGGCGACCCTGCTCCCATCTCTGTGGAGTGAGAGGACAAGTGCCCAAAAATAATAACAATTGTAAACCGCTTTGTGACTCTGGTCTGTGAAAGGCGGTATATAAATAAAGATTACTTACTTACTCTCACTACTGTCACCTTTACCTTCAGCCCCTCTCCTCTCTCACTACTGTAACCTTTACCTTCAGCCCCTCTCCTCTCTCACTACTGTCACCTTTACCTTCAGACCCTCTCCTCTCTCACTACTGTCACCTTTACCTTCAGACCCTCTCCTCTCTCACTACTGTAACCTTTACCTTCAGACCCTCTCCTCTCTCACTACTGTCACCTTTACCTTCAGACCCTCTCCTCTCTCACTACTGTCACCTTTACCTTCAGACCCTCTCCTCTCTCACTACTGTCACCTTTACCTTCAGACCCTCTCCTCTCTCGTGCTCTTTCTTTATGTTACCATCGATTGAATTGCAACATCCAACACCCCAGCCTTCCTCTCACCTTGTTTATGTATGTACCTCAAGCTGTTCTCAACTCCAACGTTTTTAAGTAGTGAATATAAAAATAAAAATGTTTGGCACTTTTGACAGAATGGACAGTAATTGAATTAGTGAATACAACTCCTTAAAAGAGAATTATTCAACTTTTGATGTGAAAAAATATTAAAGGTACTTGGAAATAAATGCACCATGCTACCAACTCATACAACCCACTACAAGGTCAAATAAATAAAAAAATGTTTGTTCACATAAGAAAGAAAGAAGAGAAGAAGAGAAATCTCTCAAACATGCTCCTAGCTGTATATACTTTACCCTTGTAAATTGTCCTTGCTCAAAGATACCAGAAGAATAGAAATGTTTTGGCCGTTGTGTTACCTGTCCAAGGCACGTCATGGTATCGCCGTCCATCTTGTCACACTGGCCGTCGCACTCCAGGCACACAGACCCATTGGCGAACTCCCGCACCTCCCTGATAGAAACAGATAGAGGCATGTATTATAGATTTAAAACTGTGCTCAGCGTTGAAATATTGATTCTTTCCACCACCTGCCTAGGAATTCTGTACACAGGCGAACTTCAAGGCTGCCCGCCCTCGCCTTAACTCTATTCCAGTTACTGTGCCAGGAAGTTAATTTTGAAGGTATATTTGGTGTGAGGTTGTGGGGGTGAATGCAATTGTTTGATCAAGTTAAGGGCTATAACGCAGTGTGTGTTAGCTAACAGAAAAGAAGCATGAATTATGAACAGGTTTTTAAATGACGCGTGAATGGGGGGATGGAGTTATTCAGGCTAGAGATTCAGGCGGGATTTTGGTTTGTAGACAGAAAAGTCTGCGGGGAGGCTGGGAGAGTGTGGAGAAAAGGAAATGAAGCAAGTAGATTATAAGCAAGCAGTGTATCTTTCACAGAATACTTTTTACAGGGCATCCAGGACAATTGTGAGGGCTGATGGTTCAATTACTGTATTATTTTAATGCCATGTAACAGAACTAATGTAAACTAAGGAAGAAATATATAAGAACTATTATATATTATCCTCATTAGCAAATCATCCGGGTCTTTATTCAGATTTTTGTTTAATTTGGGGTTTAATAAGTGTACAAATACAAATTGAGATGATACATGGCTACTCACATTAAGGTAGCGTCATAGGAAGCCATAGAAAGTTGCGGGGGTATAACATGTAACATCGCCTTTTCACCGCTTCTGACTTTTTTATAGTTAGTTTCCCTAGTTATTTACTAAATGTTTTCAAAAGTGTCAAAAAACGATATTAGTTGATACTTCAGATTTGTTTCATGATACAGATCTGATTAATCCTCTTGTTTCCTTTATTCATCGTTAATTGGCAGGAAACAAATGCTTAAATGATCAGTTTTGAAGTATTGTTGATGGTACTATGTACACATCCTGTACATCTGCCACACAATGTAGTATGTTCTTGTGTTGTGTGGCTCATATTGTAAATATCACACATACTGTATTTGCTTAGTGTCATATTATGCATCAGAGACGCTCAGCACTTTCTGTTTTTTCAACTGAGGATCAACACGTTGAGCAGCAGTTGCGTTTGGAGACGTGATGTGACTGCTTCAGCCGCGGCCCATACATAAAGGGCGTGGAGGATGAAACTGGCTCGCCAGGCACTTGTCAGTCCAATATGATCCGTACGACTTTTTGCAACCACCATGAAGATAAACACATACACCTGACAAATGCTGCTGCTAACAGTCCTGGCCGGTACTATCCTTTACACCTCTCCATAGACTATACAGGGCAGCTGCAGCTCTTTTGTGGTCGTGTTGACGAACAAATGAACAAAAAAAGACAAATTCCTATCATAACTAGTATAGCAGGGGTCACCAACCTTTTTGAAACCAAGAGCTACTTCTTGGGTACTGATTAATGCGAAGGGCTACCAGTTTGTTACACACTTAAATAAATTGCCAGATATGGCCAATTTGCTCAATTTACCTTTAATTCTATGTTTTTACTAATTATTAATGATATTTATTTTGTGGAAAAACTTTTATATTTTCTCTAAGTGCACATTTTTCAAATTTAACAAATGATCACTTCTAAGACAGTCCCATTTAATCGCAATTAATCACATTTTAATCGCATATAAATATTTGACCTGAGAACAGTGAGAAGTAATTTTTTTCACATGGATTTTTAGTTTACCATTGAATAATGACTGAATACATGAGGCTTAAGCAACACATGTTAATATGGAGTTTAAGGGATAACTTCTAAACATCAAATAACGTTTCTGTCATTGCCTCCACACTCTGACGACAACATATGCTCCTCCTCCTCCTCCTCCTCACACTGACGACAACATACTCTTTTTAAGCCCAAAATCCACTGCACACGCTGTGAGCACTAAAGCTGGGCATGCGCTGTTTGCTAAAGCTTTTATAATACGTTTTTGATGTGTGCATTCCAAGCCCCGGCGATCCAAGATGGCGCCCGATTCAAATGAATGGTTGTGCTCAGTGGCGCTTTGTGACGGCATGGGGGCTGAAAGATTAGCGGAAGTTGCCTGAAACTCGCAAAGATCTATGGGAAACTCGCCTGTATTTGGGCATCGTCTGGTCCTCCCGGTTCTGCGCAGTGGATGATCTCCCATAATGCGTTGCACAAACACGCGTGTGTGGGTCTCACACCAGGTCTCACGCACGTGCACAGAGGGGCTCGGCCGCGCTCTGACCAATCAGAGCAGTTCATCAGAGCGGGAGTTAGAGCGAGAGCCAGACGAGCAGAGTTTGTGGCACTAAAGTGTGGATTTAAACAAAACCGAAGGATTTAAGAAGAAAAAAAGTTCAGGATGACAAGGGACACTAAAATCCCCACAAAATCCGATCTTTATTAAAGCTTTAGGTTCTCTGTCAGCTGAGGTTGAGCTGTTTTAATATGCATTGAGTTCTATGGGGAAAATTTCTGGGTGGCCCACGTGAATTTAGTCTGGTTCAGTCTGCAGTACCGCGAGAATCCCCTGAGCACGTGAGTTATTCAGCTACAAGCTAGTAATACCCTATCCAGTTAATATAATACATCCATGGTGCATTCGGAGTAAACATCAGCATTAGCAGCTCACACACCTGTGTCTCGCTCCTCCTTCTCCTCCTCCTCCTCCTCCGCTCACACAGGAGTCACTGCTCCTCCTCCTCACACACAGAGTCCATCGCTCCATACACAGCGCTCATTCCCGTCTAATTTACTCGAATTTAAAGTTGGTCTCTGCTTGTAATAATGTACTTTTGAACAAGAAAAGTCACGGAGCTCCGGTTGGTGCGTCAGTTCAATTGGTCCGTCTGAAACTTATTCAGTGAGGAACGTTCCGCGGTGCAAAAATACATACGATTAAAATGCGTAATTTTTTTAACGCGCTTTTTTGTGTGTAATTAATTAATCTTTATTAACTTGTTAAAGTCCCGGCTCTAGTTTATATGCCATTTGTAAGTTGCATGTAAGTATGATTTAAACAAGAATAGCACTGGTAAGTGCTGCCATTTGAGCTATTTTTAGAACAAGCCAGCGGGCGACTCATCTGGTCCTTGCGGGCGACCTGGTGCCCGCGGGCACCGCGTTGGTGACCCCTGATAGTTTTTAGCCGCTATTATTGTCAGTGTCTAATTCTACGATTGTTGGTGTACAAAAAACGTCTAATCATGTTATGGTTCTAGGGAACTTCTGGCACAAACACCAGTGCTCCTGTCTCACTACATCTCTATGGTATTGCATCATGTTCAGGGCCTTTTTCTACATTTTTTTCATTTGAAGTATTTCCCCTAAATTAGTGGGTACTTTCTCAGGTGAAAATATTTTCTTTACAATCGTATTGTTATGCTAGTGCTGTCTTTCACATATTTTTTGCTGCTGTAAGCCGCTATCTGGACTCAGCGAACCCTTTAGCATGTGCGGCTGGTCGTGTGCTAGCAATGTGATTGGAGCTGAGCACAAATGATTGACAGAGAAATAACCAATTATTTTCATACACACTACATTTCAATCAATTGGTAGAATAAATACCTTTGAGTTATATCAAGGATAGAGAAAACAATGGTCCAAGCTGCTTTATTTGAAAAACTGGAGAGAAATGGGTGAGCTGATCCAATCAGAGAACCTGTTATTCTCCGTTATTACAGACCATGATTCGTCTGCTCTTTTTAGCCTGGTCTAGTCTGAATAATTATTTTGGTTTCCCCTCTGAAAGAATGCAAGTAAACAAGGTAAACTTCAATATTGGCTTTAAACTTTGCAATTACAGCATTCGCCGCCCTAGGCTCCTCCCGCTCTCCCCAGATCTCTCCTACCCACGGATCCATACGATTTATCCTTGTTTGTGTCCAGATGCACCCTTACAGTGCCTTGCGAAAGTATTCGGCCCCCTTGAACCTTTCAACATTTCAGGCTTCCAACATAACGATATAAAAATGTAATTTTTTGTCAAGAATCAACAACAAGTGGGACACAATTGTGAAGCGGAACAAAACGTATTGGATAATTTAAACTTTTTTAACAAATAAAAAACTGCAAGTCGCTTGGGGTATGTCTCTATCAGTTTTGCACATCGAGAGACTGGAATTCTTGCCCATTCTTCCTTGCAAAACAGCTCGAGCTGAGTGAGGTTGGATGGAGAGCGTTTGTGAACAGCAGTCTTCAGCTTTTTCCACAGATTCTCGATTGGATTCAGGTCTGGACTTTGACTTGGCCATTCTAACACCTGGATATGTCTATTTGTGAACCATTCCATTGTAGATTTGGCTTTATGTTTTGGATCATTGTCCTGTTGGAAGATAAATCTCCGTCCCAGTCTCAGGTCTTTTGCAGACTCCAACAGGTTTTCTTCCAGAATGGTCCTGTATTTGGCTCCATCCATCTTCCCATCAATTTTTGCCGTCTTCCCTGTCCCTGCTGAAGAAAAGCAGTCCCAAACCATGATGCTGCCACCACCATGTTTGACAGTGGGGATGGTGTGTTCAGGGTGATGAGCTGTGTTGCTTTTACGCCAAACATACCGTTTTGTATTGTACAATACACAATACAATACAATTTATTCTTGTATACAGTAGGTCCCATTCCGTTTTGTCGTCTTCATTCACGCTTCTCGGGAATCACGCAGCTGCGTGAAAAATAGTACATCTTATCGCCACAAGGTGGCAGGCTAAGTCCGCTTTAGCTCTGCCAGCGACTGTGCAGTGCGACGATGATTGTTGTCTATGGACAGCCCGCTCCCACCTCAGCTGTAGTTATCTGCAGTCATCCAGAGTGATCATGGGCCTCTTGGCTGCATCTATGATCAGTTTCTCCTTGTTGGAGATGAAAAGTTTGGAGGATACAGTCGGGATCTGGTCAGATTTGCAGTGGTTGATAGTCCTTCCATTTCAAGTTAATGCTTGCACAGTGCTACTTGAGATGTTTTAAAGCTATGGGAATCTTTTTTTATCCAAAATCCGGCTTTTAAACTTACTCCATCCAAACAGTGATCTCTAGACTGCTGGTGTGTTCTCCTTTGTCTTCATGGTTCTCTCTGCGTTAAAAGAACCCTGGATATCAAAGAGCAGGTGCATTTATACGGAGGACTTGATTACACACAGGTGCATTATTTTAGTCATCTCATTAATTTAGGACAACCATTGGATCATTCAAAAGATCCTCACTGAACGTCTGGAGTGAGTTTTGCTGCACTGAAAGTAAAGGGTTCCAATTAATATTGCCCAGCCCCACTTTTCAGTTTTTTTATTTTGTTAAAAATGTTTTAAATTCATCCAATAAATTTCGTTTTCCATTCACAATTGCGTCCCGCTTGTTGTTGATTCTGACACAAGAATTTAAATAGTATCATCTTTAGTTTGATGCTTGAATTGTGGGCGAAATGTTGAAAGGTTCAAGGGGACCGGTACAATACTTTCGCCAGGCATGTATATAAGGTTGCACTTTCGGTCTGCACTTTGTGCCTCGCTCTTGGAAATCTGCCAGTGAAATTTCTTGTGATTAATGTGGCGGATTGAGATTCACCACAGAAGCAGTAAACATCTCTCTGTGTCAGTGCAGAGCGTGACCACAGCAGCTCTCTGTGACTGCAGGTGACGGCACCCCCCCCCCAGGACACAGAAATTGATACTGAGGTATGACATTGGGCCGAGAAAAAAAGCAGATTATAAAAACAGGTGACGAGGACAGTTGGGGATCTGTTCTTGTTCATTTTTTAGTGCAGACATTTAATACTTGCTTTTGATTCTAAAAATGCTTTCAAATCAACAAAAATATATGAAGAAATCTATGTCACATTACACGGCTCCTCACAGCAGCAGTAGAACGCTCCATTGATTTGAATGTTATTTCAAAACGTTCTACCGGTCATTTTTTCTTGATAACTGACCTCTCAAAACATTGATGATCTCTGCCCATAGCAATGCACCCTCTGCTTGTAGTAATTCAGATGTGTAGACAGACTACTACTGTCTCTACGAGAAAAGCTATCGGAGCTAACCTCGCTCATTAGACACGTATAACAATCAATCAACACATTTAAATGTTAATCAGAGAATAAAAAATACATATACATTCGTGACACACATGTACAGAGGTTTTCAGAATGATCTGTTCACGTTTCATGACAAAAATTCTGTTTTAATGTGACATTTAGCGATAGTGGTAAACCCGGAAGTAACCATTAACATGAAATAACATATTAAAACACATTATGGATTTAGGTTAAGTTTATATTTGGGTCACTCACCGCTTCACAATTCTTTGGTCTGTTCTAGTTTGGAAGTTGCTAGCCACGGGAAAACCTTTGGGAACTATTTTATTTGCAGTCATTAAATAAACCTTTCCGGCATTCAAGTGGACTGAAGTTTATTTTGTGTGTTCTGTTGGTGTAAAGCCGTATAATAAGCAGGATAATGTATAGTACGCAGATCATTATCGGAAAATAAGTACCTTCAGGGTGGATGTAGACCCCTCCGCTGGGCGTCAGGGTCCGCTCCATAGGTACTTATTTTCTGATCATGACCTGCGTATAATACATTATACTTTACATAGTTCCTCGCTCTAAAAAGAGTAACATGTAATTTTGGCCTCTGTCACATTTTTTAGATCAGATTATTCAGACCCTCACTCAGCTTTGTTCACAATACTTTACTCTTAAAACATGTGTTATTCATTAAACAAAACAAAAAAACCACAACAGTACTGAGATAGCTGTGGCTTTAAACAAACATTGTAGTTCCTCAAATATTTCCGAGTATCCATCCATCCATCCATCCATTTTCTACCCTTTAATCCATTTCTGGGTCAGGGGGGTGGCAGTCAGAGATGCCACCCAAGTCTCATAGCACCAGCCCCTCACTAACCCTCTGCAGGTGGTGAGTCCACAGGAGGACGGCTGCTCTCTGAGTGTGAGCATAGCCTTGATCTTTCAGTGGGGGCTTTTTGGGCAAAGTGGGGTTAAGTGTCTTGCCCAAGGACACAACGACAGCAGTCATCAGTGGGAGTCGATGGAGAAGGTGCAGAGGTGGGAATTGAACCCCCGACCTTCTGGCCTTAAGGCCAATGCTCTACCAACTGAGCTACTGTCGCCCTTTCCGAGTAATACAATGAAATTCCATCTGCTGTAATAAAAATGAACGCATTATTATCACGGCAAAATGTTAGGTAACACAACTTTGGGTTGTCTGTAGCGGTTGTTTACCCCAACAGAAAGGGCAAACAACAAATCAGACTACAACACGCTGTATTCATCTGATTAGCACAGATTTTCACTTCATGAAAAACATGATCTAGTAATTAAGTAAGTTATTTTTTATAAAGCGCATTTTTATAGACCAAGGTCACCAAAAGCGCATTACAATGTTCAGACTATCTATTCATATAAAGGTGTGACAGAGGCCAAAATACAATAATTGCTTTGAGAGAGAGAAACTCAAATTATGTTAAGTTGATTTTCCGACAGAAATGGTCTTCTTAACTGCTTAATATTTTCCACACAACCAATGCACAAAGCACTAAATGTTGACGACATAAAAATCCCAAAAAGAATGAGAGAAGACAACAATAACCACATGTTTTCTGGCTTTAAAAACGCAAGAGCCTCATCCGTCTAACTTTTTCCGAGCAGCTGTGTCCACTCTCTGGTCCGGTCTTATTAGCATTCCTGGACCAGTGCAACGTCTTGTGTTTGCCCAT